GATTTACAAGGTTTTTAAAATGATTTTTAAGGGATTTAAAACTATTTATAATGTGTTTGAAAATGTTTTTTAAGGAATTGCGGAAAAGTTTTTGCTGAAAATTGTAGAAAAAGGTATCATAAAAATGTTAGTTGTGCAAATCCGCCTTTGTTTTAATTATATGACTGATTTGTTTATTAGATATAATGATGAAAAGTTTTTATATTTTTTCTTTGGGTCATTCTCTAAAATACCATCATTTTTTTTTTAGGACAAAAATACCACAAGACTAAAACTAAAATTTAAATTTCAAACTCTAAATTATAAATTCTAAACATTAAACCCTACCCCCTAAATACTATACCCTAAATTGCAAATAATCAACCCAAACCAAAGATTTAAAATTCTATACCATTGAACAATAATTTGATTTTAGTGGTATTTTTGGAAAGAAAACCAAAATGATGGTATTTTGAGGAATTCCTCTTTTTCTTTTCTATGATTTTTATATATTAAATTTAAGATTTTAAAAAGTTAATCAGTGAAATGGATATAGTGATTAAAAGGAATAATAACAAATTTAGTGTGGCTTATTATGATCGATTATTGTTTAACAATAATTTTCATTTTTTTTTTTTTGACATCATTACAAATAATAAGTGTCTCTTTGACAGGGACTGAATTCGAACCCAGATCTAATGAGAAGGCAAACAGATGTGAGAACCAATAGCCTACTTGCCCAATAGGCAAACAATAATTTTCAATTTTAAGTTCTTAAGTTTAAAATTTTCATGTTTTAAAAATTTATTACATTTTGAACTTAACTTGTTTGATAATTTTTATTTATGTATTATGATAAATAAAATTTCCATTTAGTTTTTTATATATTTTTAATTATTTTCGTTTATAAATTTAATAAAAATAAACATAAATTTTATGTTTTGATTATTTCTTTTTTTAGCGCTATGTTTTGATTATTTCTATATTATGTATTTTTAAATTTCTTACATAATTTTAATTTTCATATATATTTTGAAAAATAAAATTATAATACAAAAACTATTATAAATTTGTTCAGCTTATTATGCCATATATACTTAATATATGTATGACAGAATTTTTCTCTTACTTGCCATTTTTAAGGTTTAGATTTTTTGGACTTTTGACATAAATATTATGTCATTCTAATAATAACCAAAAACAGAGGGTTACTTTAGTTATTTTTGGCCAAATCTGTATCAAGCTACTTAAATTTCACAAATAATATTTTAACAGAAATACTGTAATGGAATCAAAACAACATACCCGTTCAGAAGATCCTCTCCGGCTATTTTTGCTATATCTGTGAGAGCTTCTATCCATATTTGTTTCTGATCCTCTGGTTGTTTTTCCTTGATGACCACGCATGTCTCTTCAAAGACCTTACCAAAATCACCGGTCTGTTTTCCAACTTCCGAAGGATCAACGTTGTAGAAAACCGGAATCACTATTTGACCTGAATTCTTATAGCACTTGTGAATCTCAACCAATTCATTTAAGCACCACGTCGAAGACGCATAGTTCTTAGAGAAGATGACGATTGAGATCCTCGCTTCTGCTATCGCAGTTAATAGCGAAGGGCCGATTGGGCTGCTTCTCTCAATATCATTATCCATGAATGTAGTGATAGATTTGCCGTCGAGAGCCTTGAGAAGATGGCTGAGGAACGTCTTGCGAACATCTACCCCACTGAAGCTTGGGAAAACGTCGTATCTATAGCTGACAGAAGAACAAGCCGCCATGGGAGAAAATAGAGAGAAGAGATCACCAAGTGTTTTAGGATAAGTAAATCAGCACTACACAACTAGCAGTGTACATATATAGTATGAGAAAAGAGAGAGAAATGGGCTTCCTTTCCTAGAAGACTTGCATAGACGAAGACTTTTTGTATACAAGATGGATATTGAAATTTCTGGTTGTTGTTCACTGAATTGTGATAAGACATAAAAAAAAAGAAAAATTATGATAAGATTCCAAAGATCGTAGTTAATAGGCAAATAGACAGAAACGTCATGTTCGTTTAGCTGTCTTAAGTTGTCATGTACTAGAATACTGTTTATCGGCAAGTGTTCCTTCAGCTTGATACGGTAAGTCATGCATGGAGATGTTACGGTAATAAAAAAAAAAAAAAGACGATGAGAAATTGAGAATTATAATAGCAATCTGAATAAATACCACTAACAGTTGATGTCGCACTCTTTTGTAAGATAATTTTTTTTTCCTTTTTTTAGCAATATCAAAATAAATGTCACTGATAGTTGCATATTTTCTTAACATACATCATTTTAAGTTTATTTTTATAATTCTTGATCTAAATGATAATTTTTTGGAACTATAATAATTTAATATCTTAATTTTAAATATGAGATATCACAACTTTCTTCTGATAATTGAACAGCAGCTTATACTGTGAGTTTTTTATTTAACAATTTTTTTCATATATTGAAAATTTGATGTTACATTAACATTACTACAAATTCTGATGTTGTCTTAACATATCTAATCTAATTTATTTTCATATGCGTTGACAGATTTACCAATTAAGATAACTCTTCACTGATTACAATTTTTTATTGAGTTTTTAATCAACAAAATATATTCGAGTAGATCATTGCACCCATTTAACTGAATCATTGTAGCCATTTCGAAATTAGGTTAATTTGATGAACCATTTTGAAATTAGGTTTAGTTGATAACCCGTTACAACATCTTCTTTTAATTAAAAGAGAAGTACAAAATTAAGCATGTCTAAAATGTTGTAAAATATTACAAAATTGCCATTCAATTAGTTGTATTAGAGACACTTAATTAAAATTAAAGAGGGTATAATTGTATTATTGGAGCTTAATTAAAAGATCCAATTGGAAAAAATAAGACCCGTGCATTTAGTTTTGACCCGTTTTAAAAGCCACGCGGATCCTGTTGGACACATTAGAGATATTTTTTTCTTTTTCTAAAATAGTAATTTTAATTTGACCTATTATCTCTCCTCTCGCCGCAAGAAGAAGAAGAAGTTGTCTTTGAGAAGAAATTGGATTTGGATTTCAAGTAAGATAAGCTGGCTTCTAGAGATTATGTAAGCTGGTGTGCCAATGTGTTGTGTGTATCATTGCAGTTTTAAAATGATGGAAATAAGGATTTTTTTTTTTTATCAAAAGTTCCGGGCCGAAGCCCATACATCCCTTCAGGCCCGAAATCAAAGCATGTTATATGGTTTCGTCCCAAGCGCTATTCGAACCGGCGATATTAGCACTTGGTTTCTTTTTCTTGTTCAGGTTGACTTCCTCAACCGTTTTACAGCTTCAGAATCAGAAATTGGTCCATCAATTAAACCAATAGAAGAAACAGTTCTACGATGTTAAAACCAAGTTGCAGATCAACGAAACATATTATTTTGATGAACTTATCTCAGTTAACCGGTTTTGGAATCATGTCAGCAATTACTTGGTTTCCCGGTGGTCGTGTGCCTTTCTGTCTTTGTAGAACGACTAATTGCATTGCTCGATAATTAATTCGGAGGGTCTATGGTTTTATTTGTGCTTTTTGACGATTTAGTTGGTGGATGATCTGACATTGCTAGGAGTTCGTGTTGGGGCTAATCAAGAGGCTCTAAACTCCCTCTCTTCTTTAAGCATAATAGTTGATTACATCTGCGTAACAAATTACAATATATGTCTCCTTCAGCTCCACCATGTCTTGCTGATGAAACGTTTATGTGTAGACTTCTGCAAGTAGATCCCTTAGATACTAGAAATAGCGGATGATATTGTAAAAAAGGTTGAAGAAGCTCTTGCTTTGCGTCACTCCTCTACTATGGAGTTGATGGGACTTTTTCAAAACACCATTGCTAAACAGAGGGCAAAAGCGGTAAGCATATCAGAAAATTCACTTTCTATGAAATCGGCAAAAGGTTCGTTAATTAGTTTGCCAATTATTGATTTTTTTAACTACTAAAGACAATTCACCGTTTTTTTTTTTGCAGATGCCAACATACAGTTGTCTAACATTTTCGATATGATGAAAGAGGAGGCCAAACACTTGCGTGAAATGATTGATGCTTTACATGTGAGGCACAAAGAACATACGAACCAAGTTCAGGCATACATAAGCAGCCATTTGACAGATCAATCCGAATTTAAACACATCAAAGTTTATATATTTGTTGGTTTTAGACAACATGAGAAGTCAGCTGTTTGTTTCTATAAGTGTAGCATCTTTTCCACTTTGAATGCTAGAAGCGAAATGTAAAAATTTATGTTAACTAACATGTTAACATTCATAATGGTTCTCTGACTATTGGGTATCTTTGTTCAATAAAGGGCAATAGGTCATGTTACACTTAAGTAACATCACAAGCTACACCTCATGAGAAGCATTTAGCTAATGGAATCTGTCAAAGAAGTCTATGCTACTTATGAGAAACATAAATATGAATCTGGTACATTAATCCATTATACCATCCATATCCTAATCCAAAAGTCCAGACTTGAATGTTTAGAATGTAATCAGATTCCTGAATTTTGTATTTTGCAGCAAAATTATTAGAGAAGTGAGGCTTTGTTCCACTATAATCAAATCAAATAAACAATCTGACATCTTATCAAACCGGCTTTTTAGAAAGTTAAACAACCTGGCTTTTACTGACAACATTTCAACCAGCGGGTGATTAATTATATATTTTTTTTCAATAGTCAGACTTTGTGTTTTGATTATATGTATTTTACATTTTCTATAATCAGTTTATTAAAATACAATTTACTTAAAATTCTTATAAATAAACTTATTTTGTATTGTTTTTATTTTGAGAACGGGTTTTGCTGAAACAACTTACTTAAAATTCTCTTAAATAAAATAATTTTGTAGTCATTTTATTTCATTGAGAACGATGTCTGGCAAATTAAAATTGTTGCGTGGACTAATAAAAACATAGAACATTGCAATATAGATAAAACAAATAACTGATTTAATATCAATACTGTCGGACTAATAAACATTACCACAAACAGAAAACAACACTACTAATTCACATTGATAAGTAGTATATAAGAAGATTACATTAAGGTTCAAGAGGTAATCACTAAATATAAGGCTAATGATCGATTTCAGCTTATATCAGTTTGTACAAAAATTACCTATTCCAGTCTTCTAAACATGATTCATCATGATCAGTGACAGTGTCCGTGAACTCATGCTAGTTGCTCTGCCTGAGTCTAAAAGGACTCAACCACCCAAGTTCTGCACAATAACTTACCCCGGTTGGAATGGTCCTCCAAAAGCAACATGATAGCCTCCAAAAACCGTCCAAAGAACACGAGTCATGACAACTTGTCCTAGTCTACGATGCCTTGTATCCAACTCTTGAGTACAATGAGCCTCGAGAAATTCTCAATGCAACAACGAAATTCGCGAATGGCGCGCGTGTTTTCGAAATAGAGCTTTTCGATACTCCATGGAATCCGAGGAAAAATTTCTCAAACGTAAGCAACCACTAAGATCGAGGATTTCGAGAGATAACAAGGTGACATCGGTTGGAAGAACCTCCAGCGATATGCACCCTCTCATTTCCAACCTCTCTAAGAATTTTAGATTCCCAATTGTAGAAGGTAAAGTCACCAAACTTTCACATTTGTTGAGTTTCAAACTCCTCAGATTGATGGCCTTGAATAGATCTGGAACTTCTCTCAACTTTGTACATTCTGACAGATCGATCTCTATGAGACTTCCAAGGGACTGAAATTAAAACCAGAAAAAAATTGGATCATTATGAACTATATAATCAATTCAATTATATACCTACGTATGTTAAAAACTACTATTTATGTATGTATGTATGTAAAATCAAACCGTGGATCACAAGCCATATTAACAATTTTGGTTATGTGAAACAAGAATCAGTAAATGCTATAAACATTAAGAACGTTACCTGGACGCCTTCCCATAGCTTCTCAAGCTTTTTGTTGCCTATCACTACGAGACGAACGAGATATTCCGGACGAAATTCACATGGTAAGCATCTCTTAAGGCAGCCGAGATAGTCGAGTCCATGGAGATCTCTGTTCCACATTGTGTCATAAAGATTCCTGTTCCATAAACAATCATCTACACGGATCTCAACTTCATATGGCATATGGATTGAATTCTCCATTTTAATTACGGGAAAATTTGTCAAATTATGACAAAAAGTGAGATCGAGGTCTTGGAGAGATTTCAATTTGAGATGCGTTGGAAAACTCTTTAGCTCGATGCAACCACGCATATTTAACTTCCTCAGTTTAATGGCAACCTGAATCGAGCGAGGAAGCTTCACCAAAGATATGCATCCATGAAGATCTAATTCTTCGAGGTTTATTGCCTTAGAAAGATTTGGAACTTCTTTCAAATATTTGGACCGACTTAAATCCATCTTCTTGAGGCTTCCTAGTGGCTGAAAACAAAATAGGGAAAAAGAGAAAAACACACATGTTACTAAATATAGTAATATACCTACAACTAATTATTAAGAGGGTTATGTTATATTATGTAATTAGCATATACCTACAACTAATTAATACAATGCATGATTGTTACCTGAGTTCCATCCCATAGCCTTGTAAGCTTACTGTTCTCCATGCTGAGTTCAACGAGATGGTCAGTATTAAAACTACGAGGCAAATACTTCAATGGAAAACTATTCCACTCTAGCCATTTGAGTTTACGTGGCCAGTAGTCGAGGCCGTAAGGTAGATGCACTATACAGGTTTCAGTCGATGACCACAAGGAATAGTTATGGATTTTTAGAAATTGGAGATTAGCCATGCCTTTGAAGGAGTCTCCATCAATTGAAATAAATTCATTACTAAGTTCTGATGCTTTGAAGAATATTCCGACCACAGTTTCCGTTCCCTGCAAAAAAAAATATTGCAAGAGAACAACTATTAGTTTAGCCATAGCAACAATTTATTCTTACTAATCTAATGTACAGTATAATAACAAAAATGATTTTCTTTCTTTTAATATGAGTGTCAAAACTTTATACGATTATAAATTATACCGGAAATAAATTATAAGATGATGCATTAAAATATAGTTGCGAAAACAAAACTTACCGTTTTATGAGTAAATACTTCTAGAATTTCCTCAGCATTCTTCAGAAATCGAGATTTTACAGGATTACCTTTGGACTCTGCGCGATCAATTTTAATACCCAACTTCTCTACAAAATTGTGCATCTCTATATATCCTTGTGGTGTAATACGTACGAGGGACTTATCAATCAACGGTTTAAGCCCAACATTATTGCAAAGGAAATCTTCGAAGTAACGGACTCTACAACCATTGAAAAAACATGCAACGTACAGAAATAACTCTCGATCTTTTTCACTTAACCTGTCGAACCTGATTCTTAATGGTTTCTCAATTTTTTCATCCAAATCATTTTGGAGTTGAGGCATGATTTTCATCCACTCTTTTATTCCCCTTTTCCTTAAAGACGAACCCAAGATACTGAGACCCAAAGGAAGATTATAAGCAAGCTTCGCAACTTGAACAACTAGGTCCTTAAAATCATGAGGTGGAGAGTTCTCCCCAAAAGCAGTTTGACATAACATTTTAAGAGCAATATCTTGAGATGGGAACTTCACCTCGTATAAATGGTCAACATCATGAGCCTTATCAAGAATTCGCTTATCTTCAGAGATCACAATAATTCTGCTTCCAGGTCCAAACCATTTAGTTTTCCCCACCAAGGTCTTAAGAAACTCTGGATCATCCACATCATCAAGAACCACAAGAACTTTCTTCTTATTTAACATTTGCTCCACTACACCTAACTTCCCTCCTATCTTTATATCCTTACCTAAAATATCTGACAGAAATTTTTCCTCCCACCTAGACTTGATGCTATAGACATGAGGTATGAAAGCGTGAAAGTGGAATTGGCTTAAGAGTTGACCATATAGAGCTTTTCCAATGGTACTCTTACCAATCCCTGAAGGCCCCCAAATCCCAATCATTCTAGCTTCCTTGGATTTCAAGGACAATAATGGTTCCATTTCCTTTAAACGAGCTTCGAGCCCGACGAATTCATCAAAACAATTCGTGGATGAGGTAAGTTTATTCGAAACATCATTAGCTATCTTTTCAACCATGTCTGCTTCACTAGACCTAATAACAATATTGAGTACTTGTGTCAACGAAAAGAAAGCACAATCGAAGTCTATGCAAAAAAAAAAAGTAATGGAATAAATAAAGAAACACACATAAAATAATGGAATAATCAAAACAGCGTACGTACCCGTTCAGAAGATCCTCTCCGGCTATTTTTGCTATATCTGTGAGAGCTTCCATCCATATTTGTTTCTGATCCTCTGGTTGTTTTTCCTTGATGACCACGCATGTCTCTTCAAAGACCTTACCAAAATCACCGGTCTGTTTTCCAACTTCCGAAGGATCAACGTCGTAGAAAACCGGAATCACCATTTGACCCAATTTCTTATAGCACTTGTGAATCTCAACCAATTCATTTAAGCACCACGTCGAAGAAGCATAGTTCTTTGAGAAGATGACGATTGAGATCCTCGCTTCTGCTATCGCAGTTAAAAGCGAAGGGCCGATTGGGCTGCTTCTCTCAATATCATGATCCATGAATGTAGTGACAGATTTGCCGTCGAGAGCCTTGAGAAGATGGCTGAGGAACGTCTTGCGAACATCTACACCACTGAAGCTTGGGAAAACGTCGTATCTATAGCTGACAAAAGAACAAGCCGCCATGGGAGAAATTAGTAGCTAGCTTGAGAGAAGAGATCACCAAGAGTTTTAGGATATGTATATCAGCACACACCACAACTAGCAGTACATATATAGACTATTATTATATGGTGTAAAAAATTCTCATATAAACTATATAATATAGTATGAGAAAAGAGAGAGAAATGGGGCTTCCTTTGCTCGAAGACTTGCATAGAGAAGACTTATTGTATACAAGATAGACATTCTTTCAAAGATTGAAATTTTCATGAATTATATTTTTAATATTTGTTACTAAAATATAATTAAGTGAATTTTTTTTACCATATTATTGAACCACTACAACATTTGATTTATTTGATGATCATTGCAACTTTTAGTTTATTTGATGAAATGTTGCAATCTTTGGTCTATTTGGTGAACCATTACAAATTTTGTAAATTCAAGACATGATCATCCTACATATTTTAATAGATTCAATTGACATGATCATCCTAATTATAAACATTTTAATAATATTTAGGATGATCATGTCTCTTAAATCTCTTTCTTACGTACGAGAGTTATCTTATATCATATCTCTCTGTTTTAACAATCATAAAAAGTTTTTTAGAAAATTTTATTTCTTTATCGTATTTTTCACTTTAGAATGAAATTATTATCTTTTCCATACATATTTTAACTTATCATAATTGACTCTCATTTTGTTACACATTTCCCTTTTAAATATTTTTTGATATTTTCTTAACGTAACTATCTGTTTTGATATGTTTATATAGTCACATCTTGTACCTGCATCTATTTAACGTATATTTTACTAAACAGTCTCAAAAATGTTTTAGACAATCTCGTCTCTTAATTTACCGTTATAATTTATTTGATATCATTGTTTTACTTTTAGAATTTTCTTAATCTGGAAAAACAATTATTGGTATCTTCATTCGAATTTTATATTTCAAATTGTTTGTAACAGTTCAATATGTTTGTAGGTAACTAAGACACCAAATTTGACAAAGCTATCGATGGATTTTTCTTGTAAAGACTTTGTCAAAACTCAAAAGCCACCGGTGAAACCTTCTACGCAATTGTTTCGAAACTATTGCTATTAGCCATTTACAAAATACCACAAACAAAAAGCCTGTGGCTTCTTTAACAAAATAGAGTGAACAACAAAATAATAATAAAAAGAATTATAAGTTTGGGAGTAGTCGATGTACAAATTTTACGTATTTTGTAGAATACATATTATATATATAAAAAGAAAAAAAGAAAAAAAAAACATTTTCAAAAATTGGGACGAACCATTGCTTCAGCTGACTTTTTTTTTTTTTTATGTATAAATAAATATGATGAATATTACCAATGGAACAGAATATTTGGGATCTTTTAGTTTATTCTATGTTCCATTTCTGATACCGCAACAGAGCTTTTGGCTCCTCAAGCAAGGGGCACAACATCAGTTGTTTCTCCGAATAGGCTCGGCAATAGTTCCAAGCAGTTTATCTTGTTCCTGACCTGAACCTTTTGTCGGCTGCGCTTGCTTATTTTGTCCTCCCTGCAGATACAAGTTACATCAATTCTAAACTTTTCTCTTCTGCACAACAACACAAAGAACAAAAGAGTGCTATAGAACAAGAGAGTGCTAACTCACAGTTCCCTTTTGTGCCAGCAATTTCCGGCTTGAAGGAGCTCTCGCTATTGACGAGGCAGCCGCAGCTGCTGCTACTCGAATCCTGCAAAAGAGAAGAAAAATAAATCAGTGGCTCAAACATTGTTGTATAAGATATTATGCCATAGAGTATATTAGCGGAACCTTTTATGTACGTCAACATATTCATCTGTTTCATCCACTATCTCTTCTTGCAGAAGCTCTTCAAACACATCTTCTAAAGTGATGATACCGATTACCTCACCATCTTCTATAGCGTCTGAAGTATGTGAGAACCCATGTTGTCCGCTCTCATTGTTTTGAAAGAACGATTGTCCATTAGCCTTGTCGATTGTGACGATGACATTGTCGTGGTTTCCTTCTCGTTTTAGTAACAGTGGTGCAGTCAAATCGGAGTCATTGTTTTCATCAGTATTCTCTTCAAGCAAAGTTGAAGGAGGAACTTTGCTTTTTCCCTTAACCTTCACAACTGCAGCCATGTGACTACTTCCCTTTTGAAACTCATTCAGTATATCATACAAAGGCATGTCAGCTGGAACCCTATTGCAGCATTATAAACATCACAATACAAATTTCATTCTACATACAGATGCTCTCCCCGAAACAACATGGAGAAAAGACTGGAGGATAAACTAGTAATGGCAAAACCTTGGAATTCGACGTATACAAACTGCACTGACAAGGGTCTCTGTTTCAGGGCGAACTGTAAGTAGACTCTTCACCTAGAAGAAGGAAGAACTTCTTGATTAGAATTTTTCAATGCATGAGATAAACAAAGTAGTCAAGCATTGAAACATGGAAAATAGTCAATGACATTACCAAAAGAAGTCCGATAACATTTTTTGGATTACCAGAGTAGACAGGAACACGGCTATGGCCTCGTGCCAGAATCTTACCCATAGCTTCCCTAAGAGATTAATTACAGAGAAAGCAGTATGAGATACAAAGTAGAGTATGAGCTAAAAATAGTTGCAGAAACGACTGCCATGCAAGGATTTTGCAGAATCAATATTAGAGGAACACCAAGACAACAGGTAAAATATTTCAGGCAGTAAAGTAAGACAGCTAAGAACCAAAACTCACCAATCCAACTTTGAATTTACATCCAAGGAGAAGGTCGATTCAATTGGTGTCATAGCTTCTTGTGCAGTCTGTTAAATCAAATACTACCTTTACATGAATAACTTGTAATAATATATCTTCACAGATCAAGCCAATGATTCTGGAATTCTAGGAAGTCAAGCACATACCTTTTCAGTCAAATCCAGAGCTCCACTAATGATAGTGGTCTCATCATGCGTAAGTTCACCTCCCTTTCCAGCCTAAAACAATAGTCAGAGCAACAATGTAACCATATTAGTAATCCAAATTTCCAAAAGTTGTGAGGAAGGAAAGAAAATTGTCAGCATTTTCACAGTCTATAATACCTCTTGGCTATGAATGGATACAAGAGCTTTCAACTGAGCCCGCCTAAATAAAGCGTCATTGTGTCCCAGCACCAAATCTAAAATCTAGCCAAAAGCATTAAAAAAAGGTTCCCCAAAAGAGACAATATAAGCGAAACTTGAAATATGGAACATTGTATACAGCAAGAACAAACATATAGCGATAGTCTCAAATAACATTAAAGAAACACCCATGAATTGCTCACAGATAGACAAAATCCATAAATTATTTCCACTTGATCAACCTTAGACAGGCAGACACAAGAAGATGATGACTGAAAACAACAAGAACATTCTTGACCAAACAAATACTTTTAAAATTTACCTTTCCAATGGGAAAAGCAATAGGGTAGCAGAGAATCATTAAAATGCGGACAAGCCATACAAAATTTGCTCCAACCGCGAGTCCATACCTTGTGCATATCGCTTGAGGAATAACCTTAAAAAGGCCAAAGACAAAAAAAAATGTTCAAAATCATCCAAATCCTCGATAAATAAACCATAAACTTAGATAAACACCTCCAACAAAAAAACACACATACCTCACCAAAAGCAAGAACAAATGTGACAGAAAGAACAATCGCAACGTATTCATTGAATAACTTATCCAAATATATAGGTAAGCCCTGCCAAAATCCCACAAACCATCAACAAAATCTATCAATTCCATACAGAGAAGCTAAGAGACTTGAAAACGAGATTTACCTCCATAGCCATAGCATTACAGAGAAGCAGTGTCACTAAAAGCTGATGCTGTTTCTGAACAACCGGAAAAATCGCAGCTGAATCATTCATTATCAAACAGAATCACAAAATCAGAAAATCAAACAGAAATAGAAACACAAAAATTCAAAAAGAATTAAAGGAATCAAATCAAATCAAATCATCACCGGCTTGTTTCTTCTCATTAGGTGTACCACTCCGCTGAAGAATCTCGAGCTCAACAAGACCAAGAGACATAAGGCCAAGAGTTAAACCAGACATAATCCCGGCGAAGAGAACGAGGAAACAAGAGATTCCGGCGTAAGTGATCCACTCAAACGATCCAAACGGGATCGCTTCACCTCCGTTACTGTTGGATTGTCCGAGTCCGGATAACATCCTCGCCGCCGCCACCGCATTAATCAGATGCATCGTCTCTCTCTCTACTGTAACCTCGGAAACAGAGCTGATTACTTTAATTAGAATTCGTCACTATGAATCTCTTCTGATTCTCTCTGGTGAGTCTGGTCACAGGACACGAGACGACCTTTTTTTTTTTGGCCCGTTTTTGATAAATTTTATAATCCGTTGGATCTCACCAACATGATGGATTCAGTTCAGTACAGATATTTTTTTTGTAGGACACAAAACGGCAAAAAAGTTTTAAGAAAATTGTATTTTGACCCTTGAAGTTTAGTTATTATGATAGTATGACCCGTTTAGTTTTGATTTTGTCGTGAAGGTCCGTATCATTACAACCACACAGATGTTTAATGTTGTAGCGTGTCCACGGAGATTTATGATCTCATCGAACAATCTTTAGAAGCAACAAATTTTATTCTTTTTGTTACTATTTCATTTATTATTTTTTTTTTTTCAGTCAAAGCTTGTAAATATTGGGGCTGTTCGTTTCACCGCCGCAAGTAGTTGCGGCTGCAGCGGACAATGGATTTATTTCAGTACAGATGTTTGTATGGTCACCGCAAGGAGCTGACGCAGCGTTCAGCGACGAGAATTTTGAAATGTTAGTTTTATTCAGCGGTCGTGATTGAAATGTTGTGTTTAATCTAGAAATTGACAAAAACACTCTTGTTCAATGTTTTACAAATTCTAAACAGAAGAACGAACGACGAAGAAAAGAAGAACAGCTCCATATTCAATTTCTCTGCTCCTTTTCTCTCATCTTTGTTCTCTTGGTAAGCTATTATGTACCTTCTTCTATAATTTTCTCCATCTCTGTTTTAGCATAAATTGAGATTAGTTGATTAGCGGCAGCGGCGACAAAAACGAACAACAACCTGCGGCAACGTTTGCTGCTACCGCCGGCGGTTATGAAACGAACATGACCAATATAGAAAATGAAGATTTTGGTTTTACAAAAAGCATTATCTAAATATTGGCAAAACAAAAAAGCACAGATATGGAAGATCATTTCGAGATCTTCGAACATATTCGAGGGTTCAATGTGACTATTATCACTTCGGCCAACACACAAGATGAGACTTTACCAAAATATTATTTAAGTTAGATGAGTATTAACGGTCACCAACGCTTCCTATGTCATCTTTGACGTTGTGACTTTCTCATTTGATGATTTTGAAGATGGTTGCGAGAGAGATCTTTTAGTTGTTGTGTAGCACGTTTTTGCCAAATATGGTATACGAATACTAAGTTTTCGTGATATCTATGTTTGTAATGAGATTTGAAGTGTTTTAAAGATGATTTATACAGTTCTTTTCAAAATTTTGGGAATGTATCAATAGGAGCATTATTTATATAAAATAAATAAAAAGATTGATTTCCACTTTGGATATAACATTTTTTCTCAGCCAAAGAAATGTTTTAAGAAGAAACAAAAAAATTCCACATTCTCTTAATGTCATTGAGAACTTTGACTAAATATAATATGTTTGGAAGATGATTTCGTAATTCATAATAAAACTCTTTGATCGTTTCAAAATATAATGAAGCTTTTGTATGCCTTTACTCATTTATGTGATCCAAACGATATATAAAACCAAAAAAGAACTAATTAGACAAACTTAAATCTGTTAGCCTAGTTAACTAAAGTTATAGAGAAAGATTTTGGTTCTTCATCACGATACCATAAAAACACACTGTCTTTTATAAACTGAATTCCTTTTAAATCCCCGACATGAAAAAAAATAAAAAATAAAAATAAGTTTAGTTGAATCTACTTGTTGATTTTTAAATGGTATTAACATTCTAAAACAACACATTGTGTGGGACTTGTCTTACTGCGCTAAAAACAGAATGTGAAGAATGACACTAAAGTGAGTTAGGAATTGACTATTTCGAAATTTAATCCGTTTTGCTACTTCGGAGCCAAGAGATATATATATATATCTTTACTTCTTGTGCCACTAAGGTGTGATTTGGAAGAGTGATATGATATGTTTTTCTCAACTTGCATATTTAAACATGATAATCCTAATTGACTCACACAAAAGAGAATGTACTAGAAAAGGTTATTTCACAATGAATTTTAAAAAGAACAAAGAATGATCAACTCAGCACCACATCCGAGAAATTTAAAACACATATTTTTGGTTAAACTAAACGTTGAAAGCTTCATTGCCAAGTAACCGAGATCATCGAATTAGCAAGCCGGGACTGCTCGAATGTGGCGTCATCTCCGTAATCTAGAGTCTTGGAAGCACCAGGAATCGCCTGAACCAGACTAAAAGCCTTTTTCTCAGATTCATCCATCTGAGAATAGCAAAAAGACCAAAGAAGCTGAACCGGTTCGCTCTCGAGAAACTTCCTCTGTTTTCTCCTCCCATCTGGAAACCGGACGCAGAGATTACACACAAGACTTGGATCAATGTCTCCCTTTGGCTCTTCTGTGAGAACCGGGAACTCTATACAAGCCTCATCTTCATCAGTCTCTGCATATTCTTCCCCAATAAACGGAGGCACAAAGTCATCACTCTCTCTTACTGATGACCAAACCTCCCTCTCGTCTTCATCTTCATATTCTTGGTCTTGATCTTCATTATATGCTTGGTCTTGATCTTCATATGGTTGGTCTTGATATTCATATGCTTGGTCTTGATTTTCATATGCTTGGTCCCAGCAAGGAGCCGCAACTTGATTGTTATCCTCATTTTCAAAATCTTCACCCCAGGAAGGAGGAGGGGGTTCATAGGCGTTGTTGCTTGACAAACAAGTCTCTGTAGTTTCCGTGTGCCTGTACCTTGTCAGAGAAGCAATGTATTCGTGAGGACCAGCGTCCGTATACTTCATCAAATCCTCCAAAAGACTGTCAGCTTCGATCTCGCCGCTCCACATACCCATCTTCTGGCCAGTAATGGGATCGATAACAAGCACCACAGGAGGAGCAGATTCAACCCTGTAGAAACTAGAGACTTTCCTACCTTCGACTGTATCATTATAGACCTGCCATAAAAAGAAGTTAGGCTCAACTGCTAGAGAAACCGCTTCGTTTCCCCATACATCTTGATTAAGTGTACGAGAAGCTAACTCTTTCCTCGACTGGAGATTCACTATCAACCATTTGTTATTTCCTATTGAAACAGACTTGGCATCTACAAACGAACCCTCTTGAAGCATATAAAAAGGAGGGCTAAACGAGGAAGAAGAACTCGAGTCTGAATCATCATCGGACGTTCCTGATGTTGTCGAGCCCTCTATTAAAGTAGTGTTGTTGTTGGTGAGATAGAGGTTGATGGCTTCATCAATCTTCCAGTCTGTTCTCTGTAAGAATCTCCTTGCGGTTTCTCTGGTCTCACCGACAGCGATCTCGAGGAAAGATGTGACTTGTTCATTTTTACGAAAGAGATCTATCGCTTCATCAATCCGTGATGTCGTTGCTATCACTCTAGGTTGGTTCGTGAAAGATGGATCCATTGTTGTTGCTTGTTCTGAGAGAAACAAACTAAGTCTTGGGAAACAAAGGAACTAGGATAGGTTTTTATATATATATATGGAGCGAGAGAGGCAGAGAAATCAAAGTTCCTTTAGGGTTTCTTCCTTTTTATTCTTTAAGGAAAAGGAAAATTTATTTTTGTTTTATATTGTCTAATAGATTTTTTACTTTTTTTTTTTTAGATATACACAAATCTTTAGAATTAACAACTACTTTACCATTGATTAGTATAGTACGTTGATAATTAAACTTGGATGGGGTTTTGATTTGTTTGTGTGTTTTAAACTTTTGATTACTTTTCATAATTACAGTATTTATCTAAATTAGATTTGATGAGATACTATTATATATGTGCAATTCACCATATATTATTTATTGTAACTTTATGATAAATCTAATAAAAAGTTGTAAATATAATAGCATAAAATCTAATGTAAATATATAAAAAAAATCTTTTTTAATTGAAAAGACATTATATTAAACATAAGTTGCTTCATATTGGAAAAATAAAAAAAATAATGATAATGATAATAATAAGATTTTGTTACCCTAACATACTGTAGATAGCATAAATATGTCATGACAAACGAAGCAGAAGTTTAAAAAGAAGCAACAACAGATAACATATAAAGAAGCAACAACATGTCGGAATCTTCACTCCCAAGTAACAGAGACCATCGAATTAGCAATCCCAGATTGACCAAAGGTGGCTTCAGCTCCATAATCAAGAGTCTTGGTAGCACCAGGAATCGCCTGCACAAGCTTGAAGGCTTTTTCCTCGGACTCCTCCATGAGAGAAAAACAGAAAGACCAGAGAAGCTGAACTGGTTCGCTCTTGAGAAACTTCCTCTGCTTTCTTCTCCCATCTGGAAAACGAACGCAGAGACTGCATAGCAGGCTTGGATCGCAATCTTCTTTTGGCTCTTCTGTCAAAGCCGGGAACTCAAACAGGTCGCTTAACAAACGAGCCTCCTCGTCAAGCTCGGTTAAAGACATTAATGTCTCTTCAATGGAATCGGGCAAAGGAGGATCAGCGAAAGTAGACATGTCTTGATCACCACCATTATAAGCCTGGCTGCTTGAAAACCAAATCGGTTCTGTTTTGATACGTTTGTTGCTTGTCAGAGACGCAACATGTTCGTGAGGACCAACATCGAGGTACGTCATCAACTCCTGGAGAAAAGCTTGAGCTTCAATCATACCGGCCCAGGTATGCATCTTCTGGCCAGTGATGGGATCGATGAGGAGTATCACTGGAGGAACAAAGATGTTACCGTAAAAAGTAGAGATTTTCTGACCTTCGTATGTATCATCATAGACCTGCCACAAGACGAAGCTGGACCGGATGGTTTGAGAAACGGCGTCGTTTGACCAGACTTCAGTGTTGAGTGTGTGACAAGCAAACTCTTCCATTGATTGGATGTTGACAAGCAACCACATATCCTTTCTACAGGAAGCTGCTTTCGCTTCTTCGAAGGAGCCACTGAAGAACAGATCCGGAGGAGGACAGTACAAGGAAGAACCGTAGGGTTCCTCATCTTCTTGTGTCGCGTCCCAGATCTCTTCAGTACTTATTGCGAAGGGACAAGTGTAACAGATGTCAGCATCGTAGACGGAAGGAACAACATTAGGGATCTCTAGTTCTTGATGATGCTGGAGTCTCCTAGCCATGAGAAAGAGGTTAACGGCATCTTGAAGATTCCATCTCGTTGCTTCAAGGAACCGAGTTGCGACTTCAGTAACTTCACCATCGATTATGTTGATGAAAGACAAGATTTGGTCTCTCTCTTGGTCGATCGTTTCACTCGACATTGTTTTGCTGTTGAGAGAGATAGAGAAAACAAAAAGAAAAAGAGAATAGATATGTTGGAAACCTAAAAGATGAATTGAACGATTTGTTAAGAGTGTTTTTTTTATAGAGATTAGAGATGACTCCTAAATATTTATTTCCTTTTCGCTATGGGTTTTTTATATGATATATTTCCTTTTTTTTGGGATATTGTACACAGTATTGTTTGACTTCATATTGGATTTGTGTTTTGTTTGATATATTTCCTTTTTTTTTTGGATATTGTACCTTTTTGTTGTTCTTTATTTTCTTCGTTTTTAATGCACTTTATAACACACGTACAATTCGGTGACTCTACTTTTATAGATTTTTTAAAAAATATATTTTCTCTTCCCACTTTAATTACTGGTAATTAAAAAAGGACTTCACAAACACTAAATCAAGTTAAAAAAAAAAAAAAAACTTTTCTCTTGTTTGTTCAAATCCTAATAAGTTAAAAACACTTCTCTTGTTTGTTATCTTTTGCAAAATTTACAAGTTCATATTCTAGGGCGTTCTACTTCTCGATGAACTAGGGGCCTTTAATACTTTACTAGATTTTGTTAAAAATGCTCTGTTTTATAGAGAAATTATGCTTCTTGTAGGCTTGTATCTTTGTCTACTCCCGAACCAAAATCTTCAGTCGAGTTTGAACATTAGGAATGTATGAAATTTAACGTTACCTTTAGCATATAATGAACTACTGTATGTTGGAATCGAAAGAAACATATATATATATATATAGACTGAAAGAGAAACATTGGAGTTCAGTTATAGCAAATGGGAAAGCAAAAACAGCGATGACAATATTAGAGAAGCAAACACAACGTGAAAGATGCCACGGTGATTAGTTATGAGCTAGTAGAGAGAGGAATTAATAAGGAGGAGGCCAGTAAGGGAAGTCCAAGTTCCTTAATGGAACGTCATCATCGTCAGTGTACAAGGTAGTGCAAGTTTTAGTGGCGAGATCGTAAACACCAAAGTTATGGCCAACAAAATAGATGCAGTTAGGATTGAGTCCATAGGAAGCACTAGCCGGGACACAAAATGCCTCACTATGTCCAATAAATATACAAAGATCTCCAATATATTCTGTGTACATCATAGTCTTGTTATATTAGTCCGATTGCTCACCTTCTCTTAACCACCATGAACTTTTCTGTTAGGGGCATTAGTGTTTCGTTTTCGAAGTCCTCTATTTCCTTAGAGTACCTGAAAAAAAGAAATACATAAACATGCATTACTAGAGTCAAAATAAGATACACAAGCCAAAAAATGGTACACACTAAAAGTGTCTAGTTTATTAAATACCACTTGACGAGGAAAAGTTGGCCGGTGGGTGACTCCACAAGATGGTCTGTCATGGAACATGAATTCACCTTCTCCATCTCCTTGTACACACATACTCTGGAGGCTTGTCAAATTCCATTTCGATGAAGTCTGGCTGGTCATCCTCCGTAAAGTCGAGATCAAAGTAGCACAAGTAGTTGCTACTTGCTACCAGCACTTGGAATGTAGAACCTTTCATCTGTCTTGGAGAACATGAGGCTCGACAAAGGGTTTATGCACTTGGTTTCGATGTTGATCCATTTGGAGCTGCCAAAAGGCCTGCAAAGACTCAACCGAGATCCTGATAACTTGACAGCCACTACCCAATCTTTATCCCGGACAGGTAAAGAGGACATGGCTACGTTTTGGATTTTGCAACCGGTGGGCAGAGAAGGTAGATAAACAGTCACGTTTTCTATTTTGGGGTCGGAAGGGTTATCATAAGAGATGACAAGTTTATCTTTGTTGGAAAGATAGGAACGTACGTACTCCATCACGTGAAAATCCGACAGTCATCGCATGACTGACCTCCTCAATGAGTTTCTTGTCGTTAATACAGACTTTCTTTTCTTTGTATAAGTCTTCTGTTGTTACACGACCATCCAGAGAAGAGTGTTGGATGTTAAGGATGTGGTCAATCAACAGAAACGGGTAGGCTGGTGTAGATGAGAAGTGAGTTGTAGATGAGAACATACGAACGTTTGTGTGTCTCTGCCATATATATATGGTCAAGTTAATTAGTCAGAGACAACCAAGAACAAAAAGTTAAAAACATAACCTAATTATTACATAGCAAAAGCAGAGAAGCTTACGAGGATGTTTTTGCAGACAGAGGGTTTGAAGACACGGTTGATGATAAGCTGCGCCATTGTTGAAACCCTAAACTATATGTGTGTGTTCAGCGTTAGCCCTAATACTAAGATTTATAGATACTTGCAAACCACGTCCACGTTTTAAAGTAAATCTTTAGAGAATATTTAGAAATGGTACCCAAAGCAATATCTCTTTAAAATCTGCGTATCATTTTTTGCTTTTCCCAAAAGTAAAAATTACATAAGTTTTTTGATTCAATATTTTATCCCCATATAAAATCTAAAACCATTCCTAATATATATTGTCTTGTCATAATTATTTTATATTTTTTAACACCTAAAATGATTCATAAGATAACGGTATATTCATTCATTATAGTGTTGCAGAAATATCCAGATATATGCCGTGAAAATCTTTAGGTGTTTATGGAACTAACATGCCGGAACCCATCGAACTTCAAAACTACTTTAAGAAGAAACTACAAGTCGAAAGCTTCACTCCCAAGTAACTGAAATCATCTAATTGGCTAGCCCAAAATGATCGAACGTGAGACGTGACGTTAGGTCCATCATCAAGAGTCTTGGTAGCCCTTGAACGCATTTTTTCTCTGATACCTCCATTTGAGAATAACAAAAAAAGTGAAAGACTAGAGAAGCAAACCAATATCTCACGTATCGATAGATTAAAAAGAGAAGTTTATAATATATAGTAAAATCTAACTCTAATTAGTAAGAAGACTTTTTGGAAAGGAGTCCAACGAGGAATCCGTACGGACTTGAGTTATGAGCCCAAAACGGACAATATATCATACTAATGGAAAGTTGATTGGGTTTAGAGAACCCTAACAATTGGTATTAGAGCCTAGGTCAAGATAGAGAACGTAGTGGAGTGGATATGGGCTCTATATTCGGTGTGAAAAAACGCTCAATGTGACACGATAAGAATTGTACCTCAAAAATAGGAGGCCAAAGGTTCGTGGTCTATGCTTTGAGGGGAGTATTGGAATACAAACCAATATCCCACATCGGAAGATTAGAAAGAAAAGTTTCTAATATATAAAGTCAAGTCCAACTCCAATTAGTATGAGATCTTTGGGAAAAAGCCCAATAGCAAATCCATGCAAACTTGAGTTATGAGCCCAAAACGGACAATATCATACTAATGAAAAGTTGACTTGGGTTTAGAGAACCCTACACTCTCTCTTCTCCCATTTAGAAATCAAACGCAGAGAGAGAGAGAGTACACATAATGCTTCTATGATTATCACGATCTCGTTTTGGCTCTTATATCAAACCCCGAGAAGAAGTCAAACATGTGGCTTGACAAACAAGTCTCTTCTCATGTTCTGGTTAAGTCATTGTCTCTTCAAATTCTTGCCCTAAAGGGGGATTCACGACACAAACTTCAATATGGTTGTTTGACGAACGAGTCTTCTTTTTTCCCGTATAAGAGAGAAATTATAGTAATTTCTTAGGCTGACTCTTGATAATTACCGTCTTTGGAAAGTAGAGCTATATATTGAGCACAGGCCCGGCCCAAATGGGGTGGGCAAAGGAGCCACGGCCCAGGGGACTATGACTTTATAAATCAATTTACATAAGAAAAAAGACCCAAAATTTCTAGAATATGTAAAATAGACCTGAAGTTTTTTTAGTAAAACGATCCAAAATTTTTTTAAACTATTAATTTTATTTTAAAAAGGCCCATATAATTTTAAAAAGTTTTATAACATATTATAATTTTTATTAAGAAGGCCCAAAATTTAATTTCAAATTTAAAAAAATCTCAAAACAAAATTTTAATTAAAAAATATTCAAAAAATTATTTTTTTGCCCAAGAGACCAGAATAATGTTGAGCAGGGGCTGCTTGAGCATCAGCAAACTCTTCAAATTCTTGATTGGTACAATTGCTTGACGACCAAATCTTGACCTTCTCAAACTCTTCATCCCACGAAGGAGCCACAACACGATCTGACGAATAAGTCACACACGAGTGAATCACACAATAAATACCAATCTCTAATTTGGATGAAACAGAAATTGAGGCAAAGTTGAGAAACCATACATGGAAATTTTCGAGTTCGAGACTTATCAATATGATAGAACCTATGCTTCTGCAGAATCTTATGTATGATAATAATTCACTAGATAAGAAGAAGCTTGAGCTTGAGCTTTTCACACATTGAAACTCCTTAAAGAGATACAAATTCAAACTATTTCACTCCTTAACACATGTTATACGATTCAATTTACTTCGTTTACCCTAATGGGCTTTAGCCTTTAGGCTACGTACGTTCTAGAAATTTCCTACTTACGAAAAGAAAAAATTCTCTAGTTTATCCAAAACAGTAATAAGCAAAATAAAAACTACCTTATCCAGTAAACCAACGAGCGTATATCCAATTATTGTGCATATCTACACCGTCAGATTAACCTCTTATCATTCTTCACCGTTGGATCGTCACTTTTCCCGTAACACGTGTCTGTGACACTTACCGGTTTTACCGGCTACTCACTTCTCTTCTACCTCTTTTAAAAACGTCCCAAGCTTCTCATCTCTCACTCCACAGGTGTGACTCGCTCTCTACGACTCAGTTTGACTCGTTGATCGGAGAAAGGTACTAAGATTCCTTGTTTCTTTACAATCAGACAATTCGAAGTTTCCGAGATTCTGATTTCGTAGCAGTGTGTGAATTTTTCGAAGGTGGAAGATGTCGTCGGCGATGGTAGATCGGAGGTTATCGACGCTAAACCCGAACGCGCCTGTGTTTGATCCGGTTGGATTCCGCGAGGTTGAGGATTTTTCGCCGAAGTGGTGGGATCTGGTGACGACGTCTAAATGGTTCCGTGATTTCTGGCTGAGTTCTAACTCCGAGTACGATTTCGAAGACGACGGCGACGATGATTTCTCTGTTATGGAAGAAGAGCTCGAAGAGATGATCGCTTCCTCTGACGGTGGTTCTACGGTTGATTCAGTAACTGGTAACGATTTTGTAGATTTAGGGATTTGAAATTTCAGATCTGTGGATTTTTAAGTTTTTTTTTTGTGTTTTGGTTATGGCAGAGTCAGATGTTGCTAAGTATTTGAAGATGCTTTTGAGTATGACGAAAGAGAAGCTTAATAACAGATCGAAGATGATAATGTCTTCTTCTTGTTCACCAAAGTATAACCAGAAGAAGAGCTACGTGATGAATCCAAACTTCAATTGTCGCCGGAATCATCATATCTATCAGCCACGGTGATCGAAGCTTCTAGAAGAAAACTAAAGCAGCTCTTCTCTTTTAGGATGAATAAGAGTGTAGTTTGTTTGCGTTGAATGTGTAATTATGATCAGCTTTGTATAACTAAACCAAATTGGAATTGGGATCGAACCAGGTCGGTTCGGTTCGTGTTCAATTTTGGTTTCGATTGCGGTTTGTATTTTGGTTATGAACTTTCAAACATCTATAAATAAAGTTGAACCAAGCCTCTTAAGTCATAGCCGAAGGCCCGAATGTAATGTAGGGCTCTTCAAAATTTGGACGGTTAAGTTTTTCTTCTATCCAAAGACCAAAGGTTTGGTTTGGTTTGGTCCGGTTCGGTTGATAAGAAAACAGACAATAAGTCTAATACTCTAATTATGTATGTCAATTAGGGCTAAAGTCTGCTGCCTAGTCCGGCCCAGTCTTGAAAAATATTAGACTCGGACTTAAATATATATGTCCAGAAAAAATCGGGTTTTTTGAACTAAGCCTATTCGGGTTTAAAAGTTTTTTTGGACTTAATCCGGTTGGGTTCAGACCGGCCCGAAAAATATATTTTGAATTTTTTTAATATTTTAGTTTGATTATAAGATTTGATTAATAAATTAGTTTTTATATTTACTTACTAGCCTTATTTAATATTTCTAAAATCTTTGTCTATGATATTTTCTATTATTTATATATGTCAAAACTGAACAAAGAAAAAAACTATATATATATATATATATATATATATATATATATTATATAAATATCTTGATTTTGAAATCATCGAAGTATATTAAATTTTGACTCTATCATCTATTTTAAAGTATTTTAGTTTCATATTTTATTGGGTTAAAGTGTAAACAATTTATTTGGTTTTTATTTTTTTTCTTAACTTAGGTTACATTGATAAGTTATTAAAAAATTTGATGCATTCTTTTATAGTATACCTTTAAATATATTTTTTTTAAAAACTATTATGAACTTATAAGTTAATTTTTTTATCCGTAAGTAAAGCCAAAAAAATCCGAAAAAGTCATGTAGACATGTTAGGATTGGGCCAGACTTTAAAATATAGACTCAGATATTTTTTGGTCTGGAGCAGGCCGAACTCAAATATATGAAGACTTTATGGGTTTCGGACCGGACCAGCCCGATTGACATGCCTGACTCTAATTCAACCTTTTATATCTACTGTAGTTCTTTGGAAACCTGATTCAATTAAAACCGGTATCTAACACGAACAAACCGAACTAATTTTGGTTAGAGTTTACTACAAAACCGAAGCCAAACCAAACAAAGGTAACTTGCTCACACGTACTAATGCATACTGGTCAATTATTATCTCACAAAGTAACAAATATGTTTCCTAAAAGAAAATGATGCATTTCTTTACATAAAGACTTTGAAAAAAACTGTAAATTTTGGATACAAGTTAAATTTGGTTGACAAAACAATTATTTTATGGTCATGACACATGACTATGTTATAGTAAATCATTCAAAGGAACCCTTGACTATAATTCTACTTATAAATATGAAGCAAATCCTTTAGCTTGTTCTCTTACATACAAAGAAGATCAACAATTCATAGTATCTGATTTTACAAAGAAAGCAAAAAAGAGAAAAAGATGCTAAGATCATATGTTGTCTCTTTGATTATATTCGCAGCTCTCATTTTATGTGTGGGTATGGTTTTTCTTTTACAGCTTAGTTTTAAGTTATCAATTTTTTCTTGTATAATTTTACGCTCGAGAAAACTAATTAACAATTAAATTTTCTTATAAACATAGGATCTAAGAGAATAGATGGACAAGAGAAGATCGAGCCATGGATGTACAGTATAAATTCGTCGTGTAATAATGATCATCCAGAACTTGGAAGATGTCTTCCAGGTATTGATGATTCTACTACTAGTGACGGAAAATGCTGGAAATTTTGCATTATTGAAGGGTGCGAAAGCGGAGGATTCTGTAAACTCATAGGGAAGAAACATGTATGTCACTGTTATAATGCAGATCATTAATATGCATCACAAATTTATAGATATCTAAAAATATATATAAAGATCAAAAGAAGCATTTCATTGTTCTAAGTGCAGAAATTTCATGTCTCTTGTGTTTGTTCAAATCAGATTTAGAAAAATATATTAAAAATGAATCATATATATTATCATCGAAACAGAAAATGTCTAAAATTTCATATAGAATAATAGATACATAATCCCAAATTTATGTATTTAAGTTTCCGTAAAATGTCAAAAAAGTAGCCAATGACCCGACAAGTTTATCTTGAAGTTTAATGCATCGTTACTTTATTTTCATACCATTTGCAACGTAAAAATATTGGGTCAAATTTTAGATGGTTCTTCGAAATCATTCTTTGTAATTTTTTTTTTTAGCACTAAAAGGTTTTTTGTTTAATTTTAAAAAGGTTGAAGAAAACTCTCAATTTTAAAAATTTGCATTACATGTTCGAATTTATTTTACTAAGTGTATTTTTATTTCATCTCTTTTATCAACTTAAATTTTTTTTTTTTAATTTGGAAATCTTATAAGTTATAACTCATTGGGCAAACGAAGTAGATTAATCAACCAAACAAAGTTACACTCTAGAAGCAGAGCAGCAGTTAAGTGCCAGCAGAGCTGACTTAGCAAGAGAATCGGCTAAAACATTGCACGACCTGGGAATAAAAGCAAAAGAGATAGAAGCAAAGGATGACTTTAACACAGCAATATCATGGAGGATCCCCTTGAGCTCTGTAGTACTATCCTTTGAATTGATGAGTGCTATGAGGACCTTAGAGTCCGAGAACACTGAGAGAACGTTGCAGTCCGACTGCGAGGCCGCCATGGAGAGAGCACATCGCATCGCCAGAGCTTCAGCAATTAAAGCTGATGCAACAAAAGCTCTGTTTTCCGAGAAGGAGGAGGGAGACGAACCTGCAGGGTCGATAAAGATCCATCCCATTCCGGCGTTACAGGATCCTGCAGTCCACGCTGCATCAACAAAGCAGGAGACGCCTGAAGGAGCAGAGGTACTAACCATCGGAGCGTGAGGACTGGGCGTCTTAGACCGATGCAGTTGAGCAGCCTCCCACGACTTAGCCTCTGCAATGGATTTCAAAATGATTTCACTTTCCGAGAACACACGATCTTCGAAGAGGAGCTGGTTTCTCGCCTTCCACATGTTCCAAAGGAGCCAAGGGAACAAAGGAGAGGTCGTTAGTCCAGTTGGGGGAAGGTTCTGCATTTTTGAAACTTGTTGCAGGAAAAGAAAGATGCTTTCAGGGCTAGGTCCCTTGGTTTATTTGTCCCTGGCATAAGGTCCCAAATATTTGAGGCAAAAGGGCAGTACAGAAACAAGTGGAGTTCATCCTCCATTGTCGCACAACGGTGACAGAGGCCTCCATCCCCTAATCCTCTTTTGGCTAGATTTGCCCCTAAAGCCAGCGCATGGCTTGCAATTTTCCATAGGAAGGTTTTCAGCTTAGGTGATGTTTGAATGTTCCAAATACATTGCTGCCAATTGAAGGGATCTAAGGGAGTATCAGCAAGCACAGAGAGAGCATAGCCCGTTTTAGTGGAGTAAGAGCCTGATTTTTCTGGGAGCCAGACTCTAGCATCTTTTAAAGCATGGGAGCTAGTAACAATCTTTCTGATGTCAGCCTCATGATGAGGTAGGTGTAAACGTATAGCATCAACATTCCATTCATTTGAGGCAGGGCTTAAGAGTTCACTAACTGAAAGAGAGCTGCAGCCCGCATTTGGTTCTTTAATAGACTTCAATAATATCATAGTAAAATAGTCATGTGAGTTGATATCTTATTTTTGTTTGTTTTCGTTAGTTATATTTTATTTTCTTAGTCTTGATTTTTCAAATCAATTTTTATTTTACTTTTGTGTGTCTAATGTTCTCAATATATTAATATAAATATTATTTTAAATCTAATTTTTAGAAGCACAATATCAATTTTGATTCTGTTTTTTTTTTTGTCCCGATACCGACACATACCAAATTGAAACCATATCACCAAAATAAACCCATCTAATTTTAATTATATTTCAAACATGTTTTACTAAAACATAATATACCGAACCCATACCAAACCGTCATATTGGTTTGTGCTTTACTCTATAAAGTAACAAAGACATAATCTAAACAATTGGTCAAAGTTGTCATCTATGTTTTGGGTAATATATTTCATTTGTTTGACCAATAAAAATTATGTCCAATAAGATAATATTCCAAAGAAACATGGCAGGGCAATTCTAACTATAAATATGAAACAAGTTCTTCATTTGTTTTCATTCAAATAAAAGTATTAAAGTTAATAATATTTTGCTTTAACAACGGAAAAAGAGAAGGATGTCAAGAACAAAGATTATTTCTTTGGTTTTGTTTGCGAGTATTGTGATGTGCATGGGTATGTTTTCTTTAGTGTTTAATACTAATGCAATACAATTTTTCTCAAACTTTAATGTATGAAATTAAAATTACATTTCTATTGAAATTAAGGTTCCAACAAAATCGACGGACAAAAGAACATCACGCCGTGGGTAAATGAAATCAACTCGATATGTTGTAGAGAACATCCAAGTCTCGGAAGATGTCTTCCAGGGATAGATGATAATGCTGATAAAGATGGAAAATGCTGGAAATTTTGTGTTGAAGGTTGTGAAAGAGGTGGCTTTTGCAAACTTTTTGAAAAAAAACATATATGTCATTGCTATTGTTCGGGTTAATAGATATAATAACAAAATTATATTGGTATAATGTGTAACACATGAAAAAAAATGTTGGACTACCAAAATTCTTTATTTCTTTAACTCTTTTCGCCATCAAATTTTTTAAAACTCTATTAATAAAGTTGAAAAGCCACATATCGATAATCTAAATAATCACTTTAAGTGAGAGATCAGATCGAAATCGCTTGATCACTAAGCTGGTCACCGTTGGAACCAAATTTTGAAAATTCAGAAAAGTGTAATATTAATGAATACTAATTTTGTGTCTCTCTATATATTGAAGGATGGGAAGAGGTAGTTTCCATACAAACATTCTAGAAAGAAATGTAATTGTTACTCTTCGGGTTTATGCATCACACAAAATTTATAGAAATCTAATATGTAAAGCAGGAAAAAAATTTCTATAGAACAACATTGTTCAAATATATTTAAAAAATTACAAAATTTACCCATTTCTTCTCTTTTTTCTCGGTATCAAACTATAAAAGCTCTTATAATATCGATCATATTTTCTAGTATTTCATATAAACGTAGTTATGACTAAAAGTAATCTTATGCATATGTATGCTGATACGTGTGTGTATATAGGCCACTCCAAACGCACACTGATATCATCTTGCTCATTAGTTATCTTCAATTTTAGAAAAAGAAACATCAGTTGTATTGTGCATAGATTAGAGTGGAGAAATATATGATTGATCATGCAAATCAAATACATACACTCTCGAAGTAACAGTGACCTATTGACCTCTTTTTAGCAAAACTGGTCCATACAAATTTAGATTATCTTTTATTAGGATGCTAGGTTCCAATGGTTACTTTGAATATTTCGAAAAGGAATATTTTAAATCTTATCTATAGTAATTTACAAAACAATTGTAAAATTAACAGAAAACGAGATTTTAGTATGAATTTGACTTTGACATGACTATCCCCTCTTATATTTATTTTCCTTTTTGGGATAAGTTAATTGAAGAATAAATTTAGCTGATAATATTAATAATATGAAGAATTAGCTGATATATTATTTTTTTGTTTTTAGTTCAAAATAGTTTATCACACTAGTCGTGCTTAAATGTGAAGAATTAACTGATTACTATAAAAAGATTTAGCAGATATATAAATGCATAGTGCTTTATGTGCATTAAATCATGAATCATCATCATCATTAAGATAATTAGTGTTGAAGAATTGAGATGTCCGTGCTGATCGCCTTGCAAAATGCGCTCGTGCACGAGGTTTAGTTTTTTCCCATGTAAGTTTTCAGGTTCCGGAGTGGTTGGCTCACGAGGCTAACCTATTCGAATCTGTTTAATAATATATGAAGTCTTTGAGGTTAAAAAAAAAAAAAAAAAAAAAGAGAATTGAGATGAATGTTCAAAAATTCATTTAAAAATGGATTTTCGAAATACACAAAAAAAGTTTTCATAAGAGACATGCCAAAATGAAATCAAAACACCAAAAATATAACTGATCTAATTTTTGGTTATAATTGAAACAAGACTTCTACTACGACATAATCAACCGAACCTACTACCAAAATTATACAGAAATGAAATGTCCACCCTTACTTTATCTTACAAAGTAACATAGTACATTTATTAGAAATATAATCACTTTTTAAAAAAACCTGAAAGTAAATGTTTTTGGAAATACATTTAATTTGGTTGACCAAACAAATTTTGTTCATTACTATGTTAGATAATGTTCATTGAAACCCTTGATTGGAATTCTAATATTATAAATACAAAACAACTTCTTCATTTTTTTCATTCAAACAAAAAGAATCAAAAGTTCCTAATATTTTAGTATAGCAAAGGAAAAAAAGAGAATGGTGTTAAGAACCAAGAATGTCTCTTTGGTTTTATTTGCAGCCATTATGCTTTGCATAGGTATGTTTTTCTTTTCTTTCTAGCTAGTACTAATACTTTAAAACTTTCTTATGAAAATTTGATATTTGGAATTTACAATCACATTTAATTTCTACCAAAATTTAGGTTCAATTCAAGTAGATGGACAAAAAAACATTGCACCATGGGTATATGAGTTCAAGTCGATATGTTGTAGAGAACATCCAAGTCTCGGAAGATGTCTTCCAGGGATAGATGATAATCCCGATAAAGATGGAAAATGCTGGAAATTTTGTGTTGAAGGATGTGAAAGAGGTGGTTTTTGCAAACGCTTTGGAAGAAAACATATATGTCATTGCTATTGTTCGGGCTAATCATCATAATAAAATTATAGTGGTATAATGTATAATGCATGAAAACATTTAATATAAAATTAACTTATTTGATATTAAATAAGAAATTAAATTTTGTTCCTATCGTAATTTTCTTTGTCGGTATCAAGCTCCAAAATCTTTATTAAAAAAATACGTCACATATTGATCATATAAATAATCAAAATTTTTGAAAATTCATACAAATATAATAATAATTAAAACTTATCTTATGTATATTTATATGTTCAAAGAGGATACAGTAGAATGACACTTTATAAAATCAGAAAATATTGTATTTACAGTAGAATCTCTATTCCATGTCTATGGACACGACCTTAAATTACTCCAAACGCACTTCAAATCTACACCACTTTATTTTCTAAACGATATCATGCTGCTAATTAGATATCTTAAATCTTAGAAAATGAAGCATAGTGTAATTATTTGGTAAATTGAAATTTGAAATTGTTCAAACTTATTAATGAAAGTTTGAAATTATTTGGTAAATTGAAATTTGAAAATAATGAGTGAAGGTACATTTATATATTTACCATATGTAACATTCTCACTAAGATATTGCATAATCAATATATTATTTAGTTGCAAATAACTATATATTAATAAAGATGATTGACCAAATTATCTTTTCATGATACTATAATATATAAGAACATGCATCGTCATGTATTCGCATATTGAAATCGACGTGAGTGATTACAATGTTTGCAATTTTATCCCCCAACAAAATAAGTCACTTTGATCTTTGAATCAAAATTTATTCAAAAACGGTCTTACAACTTGTTACATGTATATTACTAATAACCAATTATCTTAATTCTTAATTAGATAAGAAAATCAATATATGACATGATTGTAAGGATTCTGTAATTGGAATATCCAGCTCAACCATCACAAGTAACGATCTGATCGATCCTAAAACGTTCAATGCTTTTTGTTAACAGAACTTTCGATGATTGGATATAATTTATAAACATATATATTTATAAAACAATTATACACGAGATTAAGAAATGTTATTATTATGTGATTGGTTAACATATTAATGACGACATGAGTAATAATCCAAGATCGTTGTTGTTTTGGACGCATTGTCTTGCAAAAGTCAATGGATCAAACTCAACGACGTGCATGGTGAAACAAAAACACTGAGGACTAACCTAATTATCATAATTTTTTAATATATAAATCAAATTATCTACGTGAAACCAAATTACAAGAACACTATTGTATCTTTGTTGTTTTGTCTCAAATGGTTGACCGTACTACCGATGTGGTCGTACAACTCGGTTCTTCTGGCACAACTATTTTCCGACCAGACAATACTTCGACCCCAGAACCTCGGAGACCGACACAACAGTTGCCAGTTCCTGCGCCGGAGAAGAAACTAACCCTTTTTGCCTTACGACTCGCAGTTCTTGAGAAGGTTTTTTGAGATTTCAAGATTCATATTTTCATTATGTTTAAGAGTCGTTTTTTTGTGTGTTTTGAATGTGTTCTTTAACTCGCAGATTGCTTCACGGTTGGGATCTTTAGGATTCGTGTGGGCAACAGTTGTTCTTCTTGGTGGCTTTGCTGGAAGCTTAGAGACATCAGATTTCTGGTTTGTCACTGTGATTCTTGTAGTGGAAGGGGCTCGGCTCTTCAGTAGAAGCCATGAGCTTGAACTGCAGCATCAGTCTAAGTACACAATCTCTGGAATCAACACCTTCAGGTTCCTTGCCAAACAAGTTATCCAAATATTCCATTCAGCAGCTCATATTGCTGGGAACGACGATAGATCGTCGGTTGAGGAACCGAGAAGAGAAGAGAGGCATTCGGGGCAGATCGCGCGGACAAGGACATGGAAAAGCTCTGATGTTCCTATGTTGCCTTACACAGGATGGGTCTTTGTCTCAAGAAACGTGAGTAGAGTCTTCTACTGGCTTCAGATTGCTTCTGCTTTCTTTAGCATTGTTATCTCTATGATAAAACTCGTCAAGCAAGACTACGGAGACAACGGCTTGAAACCGAAAAGCACCAATCTTCACTCTGCTTTGACTCTGTTCTACTCTCTAGCCCTCGCTGAGGCTCTTCTGTTTCTTGTGGAGAAAGCTTACTGGGAATATATGATTAGTGTTATCAAGATTCTTGAGAAAGTGAATAAAGAATGCGGTCTTGAGAACTTTGGCACGGGATCGGTGAGAAGATTCTTCTATGATGCCTTCTCTAGATGCCTCAATGGGAGCATCTTCGATGGATTGAAGATGGATATGGTGATTTTTGCCATGGAGCTCATGGTAACGAATTCTCCTGATGAACAGCTCACTGGAGTACAGATTCTTTGTACATTCTCAACCCACCAAGACTATTCGGTTGATACTCTTCAGAAGATTGGGACAAATCTTGAAATCATAGAAAGGTTAGTGGAGATGTTGAACTGGAGAAACAAGAATCAAGAAGATGTAAGAATGTCAGCTGCAGAGATTCTCTCAAGATTGGCTAGTAAGAAGCAGAACTCTCTGAGAGTTGCAGGGATCCCGGGAGCGATTGAGTCGATATCTTCTCTTTTAGAGAGCACAAGAGATTCAGGTCAAGCCACGGATGAGATTGGAGAAAAGAGTATCAATAATTCAAATTTATGGACGTTGAACAATCTTGGACTGCTGATTCTGAAAAGGCTAGCTCGAGATCATGACAACTGCGGGAAGATTGGGAAAACTAAAGGGTTACTATCAAAGATCATTGACTTCACTTACGCTGAGAAGAGGTTGTTGGAAGATTCAAGAGTTGCGGTTGCAGAGCCTTACAAGATCTTGGCAGTGAAACGGTCTTTGAAACTGTTAAAGAAGCTGGTGAGCACAACAGGAGCCACAGGGAAGAACTTGAGGTTGATTATCTCTGGGATTGTCTTCACAGTGAGCAACATTAGGGAAACGTTACACCATGGAAAGAGTCAACCTGATTTGCAAAAGCTCTGTGCAGAAATCTTGACTTTCCTTGCGTTTGACGAAGGTGCAACCGAGAAAATTGGAGGCTCGGGCGGCATTTTAAAGGGACTTCTCTGCATATTCTTGAACAATGAGATTCCAGAGGATAAAAGTGGTGTGAGGGTCTCTGCTGGTGAATCCATAGCTTTGTTAGCTCAAGGAAGTAAAAGCAATTGCCAACGTATCTTAAGATCAAATGTTCTTCAGGATCTGGTTGAGGCATTGAACAGCCCGTTGATTCGGTTGAATGCAGCGAGAATCTTGCGGAACCTCTGTGCATATACAGCTCCTGACCTGTTCAATGAACAGCTGAAGAAAATAATTAAATCTGCAGGAAAAACAGTGAGTGTTCATGGTCTTGATCAAGAATAAATTGATTAGATTCATGGATCGTAATCATCACTAATGTTATCTTATAATGCAGGTTCTTATGGCAATCAAGTATGAAGAGAGAAAGCCTCAAGAAGTTATGGTGGGATTAGCACCACATATTCTCAAGTTAATGAGTCTTGAAGAATTGAGATGGATGTTCAAGAAAGCGGGAGTGGGCGAGGAAGAACTAGCCGAGGCATTAGTCAATATTCTCAAGAAATATGAACAGCCAGTTCCAAAGGTTCCAAGAATCAGGAGGTTTGCAATAGAACTAACCATTGCGATGATTGAAGCTAATCCTCAGACAGTCAAGACTTTCCAAAACCTTGGCATGAAGAATGAGTTAGAGACTGTCTTTGAGACCGCTGCTGAACTTGAGAACTTTGATATATTCTCTGGCACGGTTGGTTTGGCACGCCATGGCTCAACGATCAATGAACTCATTGAAGAAGCAATGCTGTTGTTGAGTTAGGACTAAGAAATAGGCAACAATTTAAAGACATTGACTTTGTCTCAAGCCCTAATTGTCTTGTTTTTGCTCATCATGTCATCATCTATTACGAGTGATCAAATGGTCTATATTCTAGTGTACTTCCTCCACAACATTTGCTCTGCTTCACACCTAAATTGCGAAGGAAAACATACACGATCAAAACACATGTAAAATGATGGCATTATATGTATTTGCAAGCTGGTCTCAGTACATATTCATAGCAAGAGGGTTTAAAGACCTTCTGGTAAAAAATATGGAATGAACAAGTGCAGATTCAAAGCCAACAAGATATGATATCTTCTCTTTCATAGAGATTTTTGCTACGACACAGCATATGAATAAAATCATATAAACCATAGCCAGAAGATAATTTGTTATGACAAACCTTTAAACATTTTAGCTTTCCATTCTATTTTGCACAAACCAAAACACATAACTTAAAAAGGAATTATCTACTTTTGAAGAAATTAAGATCCCATCGGCGTAACAACCCATCTAAAACGTTTCCTGATGTGCTACTACGTCCAACCACAGTCACTGTTGCCTTTGTATGTGCTGACAAATCAATGGCCTCGTTTGTGTCCAGACTCATTTGTGGCGAAGCACCAGGGACGAAACCATTTATAGGTCCTGGGAGAGAATCTGATGTTCTACATGGAGCATTGGCTTCAGAAGATGATGGCGTATCATGGTTACTAGGTGTTGGACCGGAAGAAGAATCTGTCTCAAAATGTGCCAATTCTGGTTTTGTAGTAGACACAGTACCATTAGCTTCTTTTTCTTCAGTATTCTCTGTATTAGTCCAGGAAGGTTCTTTGCTCTGATGAGTTTCAACCTCCACATCCTTCAACGATTTCATCACTGCTTCCATCAGCATCTGAGGCCATTAAGATATGTGAATAACCAAATATATAGCATAGTCATTAAGATGGCACATAGTGCAAAATCCACTTTTTTTATTCTCACCCTCTCTTCTTCCTCTGCATTAGATGGAAAATCTGCCAGCTCATCTACGTGAAACTCCACATATTGATCATCATCTAAAGCTACCGCAAGATGAGGAGGATATGGATCTCCATTCGATAAATCAAAGCTGATCATATCAGAAGATGAACTACTGGAGACTTCATTACTCTCTTTCTCCTGAAATAAATTATACCATGCAACATCATGAGTATTCTACACATTTGACATCTCTTCATTTCTGAAACTCTTCCATAGACGATATGTTACATGTACAGAAGTTGGTCACACCTTGGTTTCTGATGATGATTGATTAGATGGGTCATTAGAAGGAACCTGAGAGAAGTAACAAAAAGAACCATCATGTTCTTAGGGATTCAGCATAAGGGAAAAGTATACTTCACAAATGTAGTAAGAAAACTGTGTTGACCACTAGTATTAAAACCATGCAGACTGTAGTCAAAAATTACCAACCTCTATGCGACTCATAGGTCTTTTCAAGCGGACTTCATCTATAGCATCAGAGGTGCTGCCTGCAGCTAATCATAAAATAAAATAGATATGATGTTTCCTACGAATACAATAAAACCTGGAATAAATATTGAGAAAAACCCGGATTACTTACCTTTCTGTGCTGAGGGTTGTGGAGAACTTAGTTCTTGCATGGTGCTCCAACTGCCCTGAACATAAGACAGTTAACATCATTGACATTTCTTGCTCAAGAGACATGAAGACGTAAGAAAAAATATTGAATTGCTGCAAGATTCTTTACCTTGGCAAAGTAATCATCGACCGGGTCAAAAAATGTTGGCCCAACAACCTTTGGAGGTTGAAGAACGTTATGGAAAAAGATGTTTATTGAATCAAAGTAGAATTGTGGTCGGGGTGAATTGTGGTCTCCCTCAAACTTGATGATATTTTTGTCTCCCTAGCATATTCAGATGTTTAAAGGCTACATGGTCAAGGGCTTATCAAGAACGTCTGAGAAGCTAGAGGAAGAAAAGAATAATATAAAGAAAGTCTCCCTAGCATGGAAACTTACTATGTATGCTTCATATATACGCTCTGAGTGATGTGGGTGAATAAAGTCATCGTCCATGGCATGTCCAAATAAAACAGGAACAAAACACGATTTCGCTACCTGTAGCATAAACGTTAAAAATTGAAAAAACGAGAAACAAAACATCACATAACATAAAAACATAGAGCTAGCAACAAAATCTCAACTAGCAATTGAATTTGATACATTTATACACTTTAAGAAAAATACTATATGCCAAACAATGTGAGAAAATATGCAACTGATTACCAAACAAAATGATGATGTTGCATGCTAGTGAATAGATTAGTTAATCAACTAGACAAAAAGTAAAAACTACCAGAGGAAATGACCTTAATGGTGTTGAGATCCGTTATGTCAAACTTGGCTTTCTTCTGAACAGCTCTCCGCATATATTGTATTGCAAATTTTATCTGAATAAGATATTGAAAGAGGTTAAAGCCATATAATAAAGACACTGGGAAACCTTGCCATGGGCAGAACAAATCTAACAAGAAACAGACACTACAAATTTAAATTTACTTACAGTAAACTTTGGCAACCGGAACTTATATGTATCTACAAGTTCCATCATCAAATCAACCAAATCAGAGAACGGGCTGTCTAGAACCATAGCTGCAATAGAGGGATCCTCGGCTCCATACATCAAGCTGGAAGATAAGTGAAATATAACACAATGATTTAATAGTCCAGTAGACAGGGATAAAGATTGTAACAATAAGTTGCAGTGGTTGAAAAAATTGACATGTCTTAGATCATTTAGACACATGAATGAGTCATGTTTTCTAAGCTAAATAGACAACAAACCAGCCCAAATTGTATTTCATTTGGTTCTCAGAAACTATTCTCCTCTCTACTGGTAAAGAAGAAGGGGTTCCCAAAGTAAATCCTCAAATGCTTAACAAAATTCACTTATATAGTAAACAGTTCCATATTTTAATGCAATACCGGAAATGAAAACGATCTTAGTAAGTAATTTAATAAATGAAAGACTTAAAGGAACCTTGTGACAGCACCCATTGAACGACCCCATAAGCCAATCAAGGAGACATTTCCATCCGTGCGCAAATACTCAACCACAGCCTTCAGATCATCTTTCTGCAAGCACCCACAATACATTTAACAATTATAATAGAAGGAAGTGCTCTTATCATGCAGGATAAAGACTAATGAACCCCGTGACTGAGGGAAGGGAAAACTCATCGACAACTTAACCAAGCACACGACAATCCTACATGATCTTTCCACTAGAGAACCTAGTGAATATGTGAGGTCTCCTAAGTCTACCATGAAATAGAGCATCAAAACCTCTAGATTATATGGAAATCTGTCTTCAGGAAGATAATAATAAGGTGCCTTTATAGACCAAATGAAGTAGCACAGGTGTATTGGTTTAGTGGAATACAAATTAGAGAAAACACAATAACTTTAGGCCTTAATATTTGAATAAGAAAAGAGGAATATTTTGAAGAAAGATCAAAGGAGGACATACTTCGTTCCAACCCAATGTGACATACTCCCCGCCAGAGAGACCAGATCCCGAAAAGTCAAGCGTGAAAATTGTGATGTTTGACGGAAGTAATACGATTGCAGCTTCACTGGCATCAGCTCTACATCCACTGAATAAACATAAGGCCATTAATGAACAATATTCTAAAAGAAACAATAGCAACCAAGGAGTAGGGGACTAAGTTGGTGATCACTAGACAACAGCAAATGGATAGGAATGTGACAAAGCAATAAGACCACTTATGACAATTGGAAACTCTTAAACGAGTACCATATCAGTTGTTTCTTTCAAAGCATAGTATCCTAACAGCTACTCCATCTGATAAAGGATGAGTAATTCTGCTTTGTTTCACCAGTACAGCTCAGGATAACACTACTACAAGTTAGAAATTAACAATTACCTGTTTCCATGGCAGTATATTACACAAGGAAGAGGCCTATCTTCAGGACGCTCAACTGGCATGTAATGACTACACTTAAGGACATCTCCCCTGCTGTTTTTAACCTGTCAAGATACAATATCCTTAGCACACTCCTTTACAAGTCCACAGGTTTGGTTGGTTTTATAAACTCTCAAAAATGTAATAGAAAGGTTTACCTCTAAATCTTTCCTTTGGTACCATCTCCCTTTAAGCATGAACTCCTGATCCAAGAGATCATGTTCCGGATTGTATTCAGCTCTGCATCACACACACCAAGTTATACATCCAAATGCAAATGGGACAAGTCTATTAACAAAATAAAATCTTTTAATGCAACCCTAAATCAAGTGAATTCCTAGAATATCCTTCCATCCATTTTAAAATCCAAAATCAACTTAAGATCAAGAACAAAGCTCCAAAATTCAAATCTGAAACTCTAAACTTCCTTACCCAATTCTACGACCAAGAAAAGAGAAACAAATAGAAAGATAAAACTCAAAACCAAAATTTCAGAATGAGCAAGTTTCTAAATTGAGAAAAAAACTAAGAGCTTCTTTCACCTTGGAGGTCGAATGATGAAGTTAACAAGCTGCTCCATTGAAAAAAAAAATATCACAACCTTCTTCTTCTCATTCTTCCATCTTCTTTCACACGGTTTTAGTCAAGTCAAAATCAAATAAAACATAAACAAAAACGATTCAGACAGAACAAGAGATGTAACTAACAGAAAAAAAAACCCCCCCAAATCAAAGATCGAGCTGTTCCAGAGAAGCGACAATAGTGAGAGAGATCGAAGGAACGAAGAAAGACACAACACACAAAAAAAAAAAAAAGAGAAGCAAATACAAAACGGCTTTTTCGTTGTTGAAAGCTGAAACCTCCTCTATGAACTGTTTTTTAATTTTAATTTTTTCAAAAAAAAATTGTTTAAAATTAAAGAAGAAAAAAACTTTATAAATTAGCCCCACATTTTCGCCTCTTTTCACATTTAACGACTGAAACATTATTATATTCTTTTTCCTCGCTTTGAATTAACCTTTGAAAAATGTAATTATGGAAATTTTAATTTAATTAGTTAATGTCATGTAATCATTAATCATTATTACTATTCGAAAGTTTTGTTTAAATTTTCAGTGAAGCTGACATTGACAAAGCGACAATTCAAAGTCTCGTTGCCCTTTTTATTTTTTCTTCGTAACTGTAAATTGAAGGTGTTGAATAACGAACGTGCAAGTATTGTCGTTATTGGTAGACTCTAAATATATTTTTTTAAATTATAGTTTTAAAAACATACATATACGAGGTAGATTTAAGTTTTAAGAGATTAAATAAAAACATATATGAGGTTAATTATTACAAGGAGTAATAAAGCTGTAATTAGCGACAACAAAGTGCATATCTGGACACAGAGATGATGATGATTCATCACAGCACGACAGATCTTTTTGTCATTCTTGTCAAAGATATGGTGGCACGTGTGTGGGATAGAAGAAACACACACGAGTGAGTTTATGTGGGCTTATACATCAATTGGGCCGAACTAAGCCCTGTGAATAAGCATCTCTATTACAAGAAAACGGGAAACAGATCTGAACCGTTCTGTGTATTGTAAAAGATCTGGACCGTTCATTTATTTATCTGCTGCTGACAGATTCGTCCCTTCGCGAATATCAATACCAAACCAATAGAAATATTCGTTCGCTGTCTTCTTCTCAAATCGGCCACAGCCATTGCTCTCTCTCTCTCTTTGCTCGTAAAGCTCAAGCCTTTTGTTGTGATTTCTGGAGGTTTCTGCAGTGGGTTTTTGGGATTTTGTAGATTGAGGTTGATTTGTGATTTTCCTGTGTCAGAAGTAAGAGAGTGGTTTATAGTCATGGATTCGGATCAAGGAAAGCTTTTTGTCGGTGGTATCTCATGGGAAACTGATGAAGACAAGCTAAGAGAACATTTCAGCAAGTATGGAGAGGTTTCTCAGACCATTGTGATGAGAGACAAGCTCACGGGTCGACCTAGGGGTTTTGGGTTTGTTATCTTCTCGGATCCTTCTGTTCTCGATAGGGTTCTTGACGACAAACACAACATTGATACTAGAGAGGTTACTATTGCTTTCTTATGGCTCCATTTCTCTAATTGTGGTGGTTTCCAAGTTTTAAAGTTTTGCCCTTTTGCCTTTAGCTGCGTTGATTGAAAAAGAGAGAGTGAAAATGAAATTTTTTTGTTTGGTTTGAATTCCCCCTAATGTTTCTTGGACTCCCAGGATGGTTTTAATTGGGAGAATGAGGCATTTTTGGGAAATTGATAGTTGTTTTGTGCTTTGAATATATTATTAGAAAAGAGAGCTTGGTTTGGTCTATAGGGAAAAGTAAAAACAGATGTATTTGCTGTTGTGATGTTCTTGATTTGGGTCAAGTATGATTTTTGGAGATTATCCTGAGCTTTATTGATTTTGGTTGGTGTTTAGGTTGACGTGAAGAAAGCCATGTCAAGAGAGGAGCAACAAGTGTCCGGAAGATCTGGGAACCTTAATCCATCTAGAAGTTCTGGGGGTGATGCTTACAATAAAACCAAAAAGATCTTTGTTGGAGGCTTGCCACCTACTTTGACTGATGAAGAGTTTCGTCAGTACTTTGAAGTTTATGGCCCTGTGACTGATGTTGCAATCATGTACGACCAGGCTACTAACCGTCCTCGTGGGTTTGGATTTATTTCCTTTGACTCTGAAGATGCTGTAGACCGTGTGTTGCACAAGACTTTCCATGATTTGAGCGGTAAGCAAGTTGAAGTAAAGCGTGCTCTTCCTAAAGATGCCAATCCTGGAGGTGCTGGACGATCAATGGGTGGTGGTGGCTCTGGCGGTTACCAGGGTTATGGTGGCAATGAGAGCAATTATGATGGACGTATGGATTCTAATAGGTTTCTGCAGCATCAAAATGTTGGAAATGGTTTACCATCTTATGGGTCTTCTGGTTACGGTGCTGGGTATGGAAATGGTAGTAATGGTACCGGGTATGGTAGCTATGGAGGTTACACTGGTTCTGCTGGAGGTTATGGCGCTGGTGCTGCTGCTGCATATGGAGCAACGAGCATCCCAGGTGCCGGTTATGGAAGTAGTACTGGAGTTGCCCCGAGAAACTCATGGGACACTCCAGCTCCGAGTGGTTATGGGAACCCAGGTTATGGGAGTGGTGCTGCTCATACTGGATATGGAGTTCCTGGTGCAGCTCCTCCTGCGCAATCACCATCTGGCTATGGTAATCAAAGCTACGGATATGGAGGGTACAGTGGAAATGATTCTGGTTATGGAAATCAAGCCTCATATGGTGCAGTTGGTGGGCGTCCTAGTGGCGGTGGTTCAAACAACCCTGGTAGTGGTGGCTACATGGGAGGCGGTTATGGTGATGGATCTTGGCGATCTGACCCGTCACAAGGTTATGGGGGTGGGTACAATGATGGCCAGAGTCGACAAGGCCAGTAGTAACTAGGGGATTTTCACCAACCTGGTTTTTGGATCCTTAGATCAAATCAAAGACTCCTCAACTTCATAACGGGTTGGACTGCTTGAATCTCTTTATAAGCATGTGCTATCTATTACAATAAGTCACTTCTATTAAGTTATTTTTCGGCTGAGTGTACTTTTGAGTTTTGGCAGAGTTATTATAACTACAGGCTTTGCTGTTTTCATACTATGTTTGTCCTTCTAGTATTCTTGCCGGATTTGTTGTTATTGATTGCATTATTTTGGTTTTGGCCCTGATGGTTACAACTTAAGCAGGGAATAATGCTTTGTGGTACTTGATTAAGAAAGCAGATGGTGAGCAAAAGTCGATGGAGGTGAGAGTCAAATTGCTAAATCTAAGGTTTGAGTAGAAAATAGAGTTAGTTAGTTCAGTTAGTGGTAGCATCGAGATGAAGGTGTACAAAGTAGTGAGAGTGTGGCTTTGAGAAGAGGGTATAATCATTTTGCATCGTGTGTTTGTACAGGACTTATCAAGGGGTGCTTGAGTTCTTAGGTGGAGCAACGACTCATCGAGGTTGAATCTGAGGTCCTCCTACTTGGAGTTGAGGTAAATTGCTTGAAGAGTGAAGACTCCAGTTTTTATCAGTATGTGGGCTACTTAGGTTCATTTTTGAGTGATGAGATTCCCGGGAATGAAACAAACATAGATAGGCACATACGCTGGAAATACAAAGGCAGCCACATTGTTAACATATCTTTTGATAGTAGATATCAAATTATCGTAATTATAGAAACTAGTGGAAACACAAAAGTGCAAAGCTTATCATGACTGGAATACTAAAAGTTACAAAAATACGTGAAAGCCAGTTCATTTTATTCAGAAGTCCGTTAAACCATCTTGTTTTACGTTAGACATCCATGTAGTGCAACTACAACTTTCTTCTCATTTAGCTCAATGGTGTCCAATCCAGCCACCGCCAAAGCCCCATCCTTTACCAATTCCAACGCCTTTGCCGATACCGCCTCCAATCACACCACTTCCAAAACCACCGCCTTTGCTGATGCCACCTCCAATCCCTCCGCCTTTTCCAAAACAATCGCCTTTACCTATTCCGCCCCCAAAGCTACCACCTTTACCAATCGCACCTCCAAAACCGCCCACTTTGCCTATTCCGTGGCCAATAGTGCCTCCACCTTTACCAATGCCACCTCCTTTACCAAATCCCACGCTGTGCCAACCGCCAAAACCACCTCCAAAGCCTTTGCTGCTTCCTGTGAAGGTCTTCTCCGCTTCATCTCTGTTAAAGGTCACACCTTCTCTCGCAGCCACATAACTCACCACAAAAACATTGAACCATAACAAAGCCAAGAGACAAGCTCCATTAACGAGACGCCCCATTTCTTGTATTATGTCTGTGTTCGCATTAAGCCAAGAGACCAGCTCCGTTTATATAGCTGAGTTGCAAGCCAACTACACGACCTCTTCTAATATTTAAACAAAATATTCACACTACTGCTTCAACTACTAACTAACTGATTTGTTTAACTTCAATTCGTAAATAAATTTACGTTTTCATATATTTGCCCATCACATCTTTTACTCTTTCCATGTCTTCATCGACGCATTTTCTAGTCTATTAAGACTACAACTCCATACGCACTTTAAGTTTCCATCTTGGTACAGAAAAATAAATCTCTCAAAAACCAATTCCTGTCATCTTCTTTACTTCAAAGTCTCTCTCTTTTATGTACCATTGATAAAATTGAGAAACTTTAGTTCTGTGGAAGTGATTATGTCAATGGACAGTTCATTTAATGTAGACGTTTAAGCACAATCCGAGTTAATTTTTTTTTATAAAATAAGAAACTTAAGGGTCAACAGCTACTTAAACTAGACTTCAAAGTTTAAAATTAAAAGAGTTGATTAAAATCGGTAAGTGTGTTCTTTCTCAAATCTACTAAAATAGTGTGGTAAGCATTTATGTAACTACTTACAAAATATGAGTAAGTGAAGACTGTGAGGTAAATAAAATCAACCTGATCGATCGATAGTTTGTTTTTCTATAGTCCCACTCCTACCAACTAGTTCTTTAATTCATATTGTTGGGAGTTTAGTTGTTAATTAAGTACTAAGTATGCTTTGCTCATTAAACCTTAACAATTTTTCATAAAACAACCAATATACAAATGAATTTACTGTATAGAAAAATTATAAAAGACTTAAGGTTTATTTAGGATACAAATATCTACAAATATACCATGCACCATGTAGAATATCTTATATAATTTTGCCTGTTATTTGAGGATGAGAGTTAAGAGTAAAATTTATAAAATGCATCTAATTTGAATTATTATTAATATAATGGACCAAAACAACACAAACAGTGACCAAAGTGATTCAGTTTTTAACTTGAGATTCAATTCTTGGAGTTTTTTTACATTTCGAGATAAAAGGTGATTCAATCATGTTTCTTTCATATTCTAGGCGTTCTTGATCGCCGGGGACCGGGCTTTAAGGTTCAGAAATATGCTCCTGAATGAGTGCAGAGAAGAAGAAGATGTTACCAAAAACCTTTTAAGAATATAGAAATGCCAAAGAACGGTTAAAGCGTTTACCAGCATGAGGCTACGAAGCTGCTGAACAAGACGCGAAATTGCAATGGGACATACTGATAATTAATCCATCCCACAACTGGCCAGAACTGTTCACATACAAAGTTTCAGAAATCAGAACCATCCAAATTGGATAAATTGTCAAAAGTGTAGCATAGTGTGTGTTTTTATTTGGTTACTCTTTATACCTTCCATGCTGTTAACTGGATTGCAGGGAAATCTTTCCCAACTTTTTGCTTGACTAGCTTCCATGGCCTCCCTGGATACACATTGCAAGACATAAAGAGAAAACCAAAAAAGATGACTTTAAATGATCCGTACCTTTCAAAAACTTAACCATAGTAAGACATGAAGATAGGATCAAAACTCCAAATCATTAATCACTAAAGAGAAAACCAAAATTTCTAATGACCCTTAATTCTTGACCTTCAACTACTAAACCATAGTAAGACATGAACATAGAATCTTAACTCTAAATCATAGATCACTAAAGAGAAAACCAAAAAGATCAAAATTTTCAAATGATCCTTACCTTCAACTACTAAACCATAGTAAGCCATGAAAAGAAAATTGTTCCAAGGAGATGATGTAAGTTGTTCCAACAAAACCTGCTTCAACACAGTTATTGGTTAGTTCATGATATTGGTCCTCAAGATTCAGAAACTATAAGAGATCTTTAAAGATATAATATTGATCATCAGAAACAGAACGTGAAATGCTCCTACAATGTCTCGAACTAGTAGTATACATGTAAGTTTGTGTCTTCAAATATCCAGTCTAATCTAAGCATATTCAAATATCCAAACTGATTGTTCCAAATGTAACATCAACTTGAACTATAAACAAGTTATCTGTAATCCCATTCAAAGCATGTATTCACACAAATTTGGGCCAACAAGTGTTTAACTTCTTCTATAACCAAGGAGGTTTGCAGAAGCATTCAAGAAGATGATAGTTTGGTTCAAAAGGCAAAACCTTTTTGGCGACAGTTGAATTACCCTTCTTCCCTTTGAAAATAGCATCCATCAATTTGTGAAAGAAGTGACCAAATGGTCCTCCATAAACCAACCCATACAACTACACAGATGAACCAAAATCACATTTTTTTCAGACAACATATATAGATTACAAACATATAATATAAGACAAAAGCAAAACTAACCATAAGGAGAAGCAATCTCCGGAACTGAATCTGTTTAACTCCAGAGATCTTCTGAGCTATAGCATCACTGCACCCAGCCAAGACCCCAGCAGTGATCGCCTGAAAGTTTCATCACAACATGATCATCATCTAAAGATTTGAGAGAGAAATTGAGGGTATTATCGAAAATAATAAACCTTGGTTCGTAAAGGGTAGGCTTGGAGCTGAATCAGATACTTTCGCCATGCGTCTTTTGCAAGATCCGACATGGCCCTCAAGATTCAAACGAGGAAAGAGCAAGATTTGACAAGACTAATAATTTGCGGAGAGAGAGATTAAAAGATGTAATATTAGGAATATATATTCGTTTGGTGATGACTAGACAGACATACATAGTTTATAACATGTGTGTGGTCTGAAGAAGTTGCAGCGCCTAAACATAACGGGTCAGGTAAAGATCTCATCAAGGTTCCATTTTGTTCTACAGAGTTTACAAGTTGTGTCATCTAAATTAGTAAACTGGGATGATTAGCTATTTTTGTGTATAGAGAAATTAGGTGAGATGACAATATCTTGAATTATTCAGTGGTAAGATCTGGTTTGTGCTATTTGGATCTTCCTTTCTGGATACAGTAGAAATAATGGTGAAAAATAAGAAACCTCTGAAACTGATCAAAAACACCAGATGTATGTACAGGCTGAAGTCAAACAAAGCAGATAGCATGAAAGGAGATTTTAGAAAAAAGCATCATAGTTGGTTGGTAACAGAGAGCAAAAGTATGAACACAACACAAGAGAAGCAGCACAAGCTGTGCTAACACTTGGCTTAATAGGCTCCGTTTTGAAGAATCAACTGATCGTGGGAACACACCATCATAGCTTTGATTTACCTGAAATTCAGAATTCAACTATTAACATCTGATATAAGTTGTATACAAAAGTTATATTTAAAAGTTTAATGCTTTACCTATAAGAGGTATCTCCATAAAGCCGGGCGGTCTCTCGAGATGAGGAGTACACGACAGCCTGAGTAATCAAATGAAGGGCAATATAGATCGTTTGGACCGATAATCTCCCTTACAGTTTGAAGGCTTCCATAGTCACTTGTCAAAGGCTGTTGCAAGGTCTCCTCTTTTGCTGTATCAAACACGAAAAGTCCCATACCAGAAGTAGCCATGACAAAATTTGAATTCCCCCAGACTTGGGTAATTGCAGCGTGGTGCGGGTGAGAGTTAGAGTCAGGCAGACTGTATGTGCTCACGAGACGCTGTTTCCTGATGGAGAATTGCTGCACTTGAGATGAAGAAACCATATGTTTCTTTACAGTTGTTTTCTGATTGGTACATCCGAGAAATACTGAATCTCCTCGAGATGATACACATTGAGCATTAACACCGAGTTTCGGGATTTTAGCACCAATGCCTGAAGGGTTACGGAAATCCAAGATGTTGATTGAATCACTAGTACAGAAAACTCCGTCGTTCCCTTCAGCGTCCAAGGAACTTACCCTGCATTTTCAGGTAAAAAGAAACTAATAAGTGAATGAAAGAGAAACTAAAGTATCCATTATATTAGCTTCCTCATGTTCATATGATCAATTGATGGAACTAAGCAAGGAGAATAGGAAGATGCTATTAAAATAAAAATTTTACCTCTGACGAACACCTCCCCCAACTTCAGCATCTGTGTTATTAATGTGAAAAGCCGAGATTTTCCTCCCTGAAGAGGAAATAGTGTGCTGTGCTTCAGGGTGAAGAGAATTGACATCCCAAACAGAAATTGCTTCAGTTTCTGCTATGACAAGTTTTCCTCGATTCCTCCACTGTAAAGGGCTCGAATAATCTAAAGCTGACACAGGATTCTGGAGCCCCCATCTCATGATTTGCTCCCCATCTCGTATGTCAAAAACCTTAACTACACTTTGGAAACTAGCAGTTGAGGCTATAAGAGGACCACATGGTCTGTACCACCATTGTTGAGTTTCAGGTACAACTGCACAAGCCGGAGTGTTCCTACCATGTGATGTGTTATTGGGTAGAGGAGCAAGAGCTGTTCTTGAAACTCTGGAAGATCCATCCTCGATGTGAAGTGCTTGAATGTCTTTCGTGTAGAAATCCCATGAACAAAAACCAGACTCTAAGGTATTCCCAGCAGAAGCAGCTACGACATATCTGCCTGAGCAGCCATCTGCACCCGGTGCACGAACTACCCAGCAATCTCTCCAAGTGTTTGGTGAGATACCATCTGGAGGACTGTACACAGATTTCACCTGAAAAAAAAAAAAGTTTTTGATGTAAAAGATGACAATGCATATAGTATACAAACAGTGCACAAACTCCAGTCACTTTATACAAAACCACCCCTATGGTAGAGAATTACATTCATTAACCATAAAATTTGCAAACAATATATAGCCCAAAATAAAGCTTTAGTTACTAAGTATTTCAGCAAGTAGAAGGTGAAAAAAAATCAGTTTATATCAAGAAAAGCTATCCTAAACATCTTCTGGTAGCTCGAGAAATGTGTGTGTTGCGGTGAATATGAGATTTTAAAATCAACGTTCAACACCAGCATAGTTCAAGGTAGATCAAACCTGATACTAAAAAACAGGTGTTCCATAAATGAAGATAAATCACTGAAAACATAAACGGATAGTACCTCAGAGTTAGCAACATCATAATAGGAACATGAGCCATCATCATGAGCAAGTATAACTGCCTCGCCCTCGGATACAAACCATCCTCCTGTAGAAGTTTTGGACCCAATGTAATTGGGTTGATACATGCACCCATCATCTATCTCTTCCAGTTCCATCTCCTCCCTATTCTCTTCATCATCAATTTCCTCAAGGGCTTCATTCGCCCTGAGAATTTCAGTTAAGTTGGAAGTCAGATTGCCGTCTTTTGAAGCATCATTTTCCTTTGATGGTTCCTCGGTATCCATTTCCTCCACTTCCAAATTTTCTAGTGCATTCTGATCACCTATAAATGTGACTTTTTCCTTGTCAAGTGAGGCCAAGAACTCTAGAGCTATCGCATTCTCCTCAACAGGAGCTGATGGCTTTCCTTCAACATTTACTGCATTACTGGGCACAACAGAGTCATTCCCCTTTGTGACATGTGACGATGTTTTGGATTGAGTTCTGCTTCTTAACAACCTCTGGTGAGGAAAGAGTCTGTCTTCCAGCTCTTCCTTATTTAATCCTTTAACTGAGGATTTCTTCACTTGAGTAGCTTTGTTTTTCTCCGGACCATCAACAACATGGCTCATAGACTTTTCAATCCCTGTGATCTTCTGCTGTATATCAGAGATTATAACCTTAGATGAATCCGGATTGTTCAAATCCAGCATATCCTTAGTCTTCTTGATATCTGATGCAATTTTCTTAACCTTTCCTTCAAGAAAAGCAAGCTTCTCATGCAGCTTGCTCGGGTATTTACTAGAGCTGTTGCTACTTCCTTCATTTCCTCTTATCTCCTTTGATATCTCCATTGCCTTCCCAGCATTATCCAAAGACTTTCTTCTTAAACCTATACTAGTACCTTTCCCAATCTTTTCAACTTTACAATCAGATTTCGAAGCAACAGCAGATTTTTCTCCGGAACCAAGCACAGCATGTGGCTTTGCATTAGAAACTGAGTTTCTCGCCAAGCTAGAACCTTCAAATTTGCTTGATTTCACTGCAACACTACTCTCTTCATCTGTTTTCTCACAAACCTTACTTGGCTCACAGATTACATCACCAACCTTATTCTCACTCTCGCCCTGTTTAAACCCAGAAGCCTTGAACCCAGATTTCTTATCCTGATCCGATTCACCCTTTTCCCCAACAACCCTAGATTCATTTCTCTTCCTCAAATCCGAGAAAACCCTAATCAAATCAGATGGACTAGAACTCCTACCTCGCAACCCAGAAGCCGTCGATCGCGTAACCCGACCCTCGCAACCATCACCAACACCTCTCACGGCGGACTTATCGATCCGGGGAACAGGACGAAGCACTGGCTTCTGAGTCGATCCAAATGAACGGTGACTAAGCTTCGGATTCTCTTTGCTGGACAATGATTTCTGCAGACCAGGACTAGGATTCTTACTCGAGATCGGAAGTGGAGTTACAGACCTTGATGGTTTTTTACCAGAGATTTGATTTTCTCCGGCGCCGGCGTTTAGATCTTTTAGCCGGCGGCGATTCGTTGAAGCTGACATCGGCAAAATTCTTAGGGTAAAATAATTTAGGATTTGAAAACAAAAGTTTGGGAGAAGAGAAAAAAAAAAATGTCTTTTGATTTTTGAAGTGGAAAAGCACAAAACGATAAATGTAGGATTAATACCACATGCCGACAAAACAAATTAGAGTTTCAATTTCAAAATATTTGGGCGGGATTACCAAAATATCATAAAATAATAGTTGAGATTTCGAAATTTCTTAAACGCAGCGTTTTAATACATAAAAACTTAAAAATGTCGACAAAGTCACCTAAAACGGTGCGCTTCATCAGGAACTATTTAAACACGTGATACCACTAAATGCAGATACGCGGCGTTTTGAGGTTAGTGGTGGTAGCTTGAGATTTTGAATTTAGTTCCTGATACGCTGCGTTTTGTGCAATGAGGTTTTTCAACACGTGGCAATACCAATAAGCCCAAAACGCACCGTTTTTAATGCTAGAGAGGTGGTTAATTTACGTGAAGGGTTTTGTTTTGTTATGTATTTTCTCATGCATTATTTTATACGAAACGTTGTCTCAATACGTCTCAGGGAAACGACACAACCGTAGAGATTGATGTCCGAACATGTTTATATAACATCTCCAAATAGAGACACTAAACAACACAGAAGTAATCATCGCAACATATAAATCTATTGTCGTATTGAAAGAGTAAGAAGAAAATGGCGAATGAGTTTGGATTCGGGATGGGTTCGGTTCTGGCGGTTGTTGTCGTTGCACTAATCTTACTGTTCGGTCCGTTGATGATGGGACCGGTGGCTCCTCCGTCTCTTCCTCTTATCTTGGTGTTTCCGGTCGTACTGCTCTTTGTGTTTCTCTATCTCCATTTTAGTTCCAAGTGAAAAGCATCGATCTATTATTACTATGTAGTATATAGACTGCATTTATCTCTATGTTTTTGGTTATATAATTTTGTAAACACAAGAAGTGTATTCGATTTATGATTTATAATAATTAATATTTCTTCAAATGGTTAGATTTGTTCGGATTCATAAATTTGTTCGTCCTACACTATTCGACACATTCACTTAGATGTGTATTTATCAGTCAAGTAAAATGGTTGCCACTTCGTGTAGTTATTGCCGTTGCAAAATCTGTTATGAACACGCAGAACTATTTGAGTGTTACATTGCAGAAAAAACTATATCATGAGAAATAGATTAGATAAGCAAAATGATCATACGAAAGTAAAACAAACCTGTATGTATTGGAAAAGCGTGTCGGTGACTGAAAGAAATGATTTTAAGTTCGTATAGTTGAAAATCTGTAACATTTGAAGTTCGTATCATTGATAAATTGAAAATTGCGAGGTTGCAACCTTTTGCAAGTATGAGTATGAAATTGAACTGTTTATAACCTTTTTAAATGTGTATCATGATTATGATTTTATAATCACTGATCGTATCTAAACATATAAGTTCACAAGATGATTTTTACTTTTATGGATTATGGATCTATGATTGCTAATTGATATTTGTAAATACAAGTTTATTGATTGATATTGTGATATATGATTGCTAATTGACTTCATGAACTACGATGATCAATATCCATTTCAGTTTATACTTGTGTACTTTTTTTCCTATCGCAGTAAACTATCAGTTACGAATTGAAATGTAAATTAGAAAAAAGGTTGAGATGAAAAGTTACAACAACATTCATACTGTAGTACGTCGAGTCAAATGGTTAGACAAATGATATACGATACGTTAGTGTTAGTGTTGATCATATAGACGAACTTGGATCAAGTCTTTGAGTATTCTTAGTGAAAGCAAGGATGTTGTAAGGAATAAATCATTTGCGTACAGATCATTCTCTGCCAATCCCTGACTCGAAGATAGTATCAAAGCTTACCATTTTAAGATGAGTTTCTTTATAGTTACTCGAATATTGAATTTTGAGTTAAATGTATGTATAAAGCTTAGATTAGATTCTACTGCATTCTAATGATGTTGAATTGGTTCACAAACTTAAAAGAAGGTTATCCATTCGACACTGTCCTATAAAATTAAACACCACAACCAAGATTTCAAAGTATATCCGAGTATCGAAGCAAAGACAAGGTACCAAAACAAAACAAAAAAAGTAGATAGATGAAACAACTTAAAAGAGTGATGTTCCCTTTCCCTTCTTGTCTCCACCGATCTCAAAGTGCTTGCACCTCTGCAAAATCCAACACACAAATATGTAAGAATCAGAACTGAAAGTAAAGAATGTTTGACAAAGATAAAGAATGTTTCACTCATCATTACCTTAATAGGGCGTTGAGAGAAATGCTTGCAGCTTTGGCACTGAAGCCTTAGGACAATCTTCTTGGTTGTCTTAGCCTGTTCCAAAGAAATACAAATGATGAGACACAGGCCAGGTAACAGATCATTCCTACCAAGTATAGTACCGAGTATACATCTGAGACATATTTTAGAGAGTCAAATCTTATCTACTACATTAGTTCTCAGACTGTAATAAGCGATCAGAATAAGGCAAATCAAAACTGAATCAGAGCATTATTGTTGATTTTGTCTTACCTTCTTGTGGAAGACGGGCTTGGTCTGACCTCCATATCCAGATTGTTTGCGGTCATAACGACGCTTTCCCTGGGCAGCAAGACTGTCTTTACCCTTCTTGTACTGGGTCACCTTGTGCAAGGTATGCTTTTTGCATTCCTTGTTTTTGCAGTAGGTGTTCTTAGTTTTGGGAATGTTCACCTAAGATAAAGAGAACACCGAACCCTTGAGTTACAAACTACCACAAGAAATGGTTTCAACAATATACAGAATCGATTACAATCATTAAACTGCTTATGTACAAACCCTTCAATCTGATAATAAAACTTCCTCATTCTCCTACATCATTCAGAATTGATATCAACCATACGATCTGACTACTTAACTAGAAAATACTGATAACCACTCTGTGAATCCATCTAATGAACAAGTCCTTTTGAATTGTAGCAACAATGCAAATGTATAACACTACATCATTTTGAATCCTCAAAGTACAACAACGAAAGCAACAACACAACAGGTTCTCAAACTTAGAATTAGACTTTAATCATACTCGATTGAAGATGCAAACTCAGAAACAAGCATCTCAAAGAAAGAAGAAGACAAAAATCACAAAACTGATCTGAAAACAATAATTTCGATTGATCAAAAAGTATACATCAGCAACCAAATACTAAGTCCCAACCTAACCTAATAGAAATCTAGCAGAAAACCAAAGAACAGAGAAGAAGAGAATCACCATTTTCGCTCTTCGGTGAAGCTCGTGCCGTCGTCTTCTCCACTGCCCAAAAACCACAAATTATCTAAAAGGAACGAAGTTTATAAGAGAGAGACTTTGAGAAAACCCTAATCCTATAACATTTGGGCTTCTAAAAAAACACAAAAGCCCATTTACGTAATCAACAATCCAGCCCATATTAAAATCTCAACTTACCTTTTTCAAAAAGAGAATTAAAATATTTTACTTGCCGAAAATATTATTTTGTTTACAACAAATCAAATCAATCACTGGTCCCGTGAGACAAAACTAGCCGTTTAGAGATACAACAACACAACGGTTATGTTTGTTTCTTTCTTTGTTCAAAACTTCAAACCTCGTGAATCACAAAACCCTAATCCCCTTTTCAATTTCTCTCTCTACTCTAACGCTCTCTGAAATCTCCAAATTTCAAAACTTCACTCATTTCTACACAAATCTGAAATCTTGAAGCTTCTTTAACAATGGCGCCGACGCCATCTTCTTCGAGATCGAATCAAACCCAATATACTCTAATCAGAACTCCACAAACCAAACAACGGCTCAATTTCCACTCGAAAACCCCAAACCCAGATGGATCCAAAGACCCAACTCCGCCGGAGCATCCAGTTGAAGTAATCGGACGGATCCGTGATTATCCAGATCGGAAAGAGAGACCGGCGTCGATCTTGCAGGTTAACCCAGATAACGAAACGGTACGAGTCAGAGCTGATGTTGGGTACAGAGATTTCACCTTAGATGGTGTTTCTTTCTCGGAGCAAGAAGGTCTTGAAGATTTTTACAAGAAGTTTATAGAAGAGAGGATTAAAGGTGTCAAAGTTGGGAATAAATGCACGATTATGATGTATGGACCAACTGGTGCGGGGAAGAGTCATACTATGTTTGGTTGTGGGAAGCAACCTGGGATTGTGTATCGTTCTTTGAGGGATATTTTGGGAGATTCGGACCAAGATGGTGTTACTTTTGTTCAAGTCACTGTTCTTGAGGTTTATAATGAGGAGATTTATGATCTTCTTTCGACTAATAGTAGTAACAATTTAGGGATTGGTTGGCCTAAGGGAGGTAGCACTAAGGTAAAGTCTTTTTAGTTCCTTTGTGTGAAAATGTAGGTTCTTGATTGATCAAGCTTAGTATATAACTTCTGGAATTTGTGGTTTATTACAGGTGAGGCTTGAAGTAATGGGGAAAAAGGCGAAAAATGCAACCTTTATTTCAGGGACAGAGGCTGGGAAGATCTCTAAAGAAATTGTGAAAGTGGAGAAACGGAGAATTGTGAAAAGCACACTTTGCAATGAAAGAAGTTCCCGGAGTCACTGCATTGTAATATCGATCTTCTTGATTAGTGCATATATATATATATAGTTTATCTCTGTTGCAACTTACAAGAGTGATTGTTTCCTTTTGTAGATAATACTTGATGTGCCAACTGTTGGGGGAAGGTTAATGCTTGTTGACATGGCTGGTTCAGAGAATATAGACCAAGCTGGGCAAACCGGATTTGAAGCTAAGATGCAAGTAATGATTACTTCTTTAGTCTCTCTCAATTCATTTGAGTCTATGAAAGTTACTATTAAGGAATTCAACTGACCTGTATATCTCTCTCTATTCAACAGACAGCTAAGATCAATCAGGGAAATATCGCACTGAAGCGAGTTGTGGAATCTATAGCAAATGGAGACTCTCACGTACCCTTCAGAGACAGTAAGCTGACCATGCTCCTCCAGGTGAAAATTGTGTTCTCTTGATTAATACTCTGGAAGATGTCCGTGGCTCCTTAGTTAACTTGAAGATGTATTTAGTTTTAATATATCTTTTGGGTGCAGGACTCTTTTGAAGATGACAAGTCAAAGATTCTAATGATCCTGTGTGCGAGTCCAGATCCAAAGGAAATGCACAAGACTCTATGCACTCTAGAATATGGAGCAAAGGCAAAGTGCATAGTTCGTGGGTCTCATACTCCAAACAAAGATAAGAATGGGGGTGATGAGTCTGCTTCAGCTGTTATTTTGGGATCAAGAATAGCTGCGATGGATGAGTTTATTCTCAAACTCCAGTCTGAGAAGAAGCAACAAGAAAAAGAAAGGAATGATGCACAAAAGCAGCTGAAGAAGAAGGAAGAGGAAATTGCTGCATTGCGATCCCTACTTACACGAAAGGAAGCAAGTGCTACCAATGAAGAGGAGATAAAAGAAAAAGTAAACGAAAGAACCGAACTTTTGAAATCGGAACTAGAGAAGAAACTTGAGGAATGCCGAAGAATGGCTGAGGAATTTGTTGAGATGGAGAGAAGAAGAATGGAGGAAAGGATTGTGCAGCAACAAGAGGAACTGGAGATGATGAGAAGACGGTTAGAGGAAATTGAGGTTGAGTTTCGGCGCTCAAGGGATGGAGGAAGTATTGATGAAACTAGTGGGTTTGCTAAAAGACTCAAGAGTCTTTACTCTGATGATGATCCTGGTATGGTGAAGTCAATGGACCTTGACATGGGTGAACCAGAACCAGTCAAGCAAGTTTGGGGGGTTTCACACCAATCAAGTTTGGGGGGTTTCACTAACATTTTGCAGCCAAAACCTGCAGAGAATATGCTTACGCAGATGTTCCCTGACCGGGTATGCTTGAGCACTGTCTTCGAAGAAGAAGAGGTTGAAGAAGAGGAAGAAAAAGTGATAGTCGAGGATAAAAGCATCTGCCTAATAACAACACCAATGCCTAGTTTGAATTCTGGAGGTTTGGGTAAAGAGAACTGCTTCAACAGTACAGATGACAAAGAATCAGCCTCGTCGAGAAGGTTGAGAATTCAAAACATATTCACCCTTTGTGGCAATCAGAGAGAGCTGTCACAACACGGTGGACAAGAGGAGGATCAAGCCAATAATGCTGCATCACCTGATAAGAAAGACAATCAGTTGTTTTCTATAACGAATAAGGCAGCAGTGGAAGAAGCAAAGGAAAACAATATCTCAGGCGATGAGAGGAAAACCGGTCAGATAGATATCTATGTTAAGTGGGAAACAACTGCTGATAACCCTCGAAAGCTCATAACAACACTCAGAGTTACAAAGGATGCAACACTAGCTGACTTGAGGAAGCTTATTGAGATCTACCTTGGATCTGATAACCAGGCTTTTAACTTTCTCAAGCTTGGGGTAATAAACCCGTAACTAATAACTAATAGGCACAAAAAGCTTCTGTTTATCTGTTTGTTATGCTCTGATCCTAAATGCAATTTCATTTCAATGTTTGAAGGAACCATGTGGAGCTCAAGTGGCAAAGGAGGAAGAATCTACAGTTCAAGCTACGAGCCTTCCTTTCTGCAGCGGACATGCTTACCTCGCTACTTTAAGACCGGGAAAGAGCTCACAGCCTCAATGTCTTACACCAGCAAGTCCACTTCCGCTAACTCCCATAGAAAACAAGATGCCGTTTACGCCCATCTCAAGAGTGACACCCAACCACCAAGTTGATGAATTTTTATCACCCAATATCGCAGCTCATCTCAGCTCCACTCCATTCATCACTCTTAGAAGACATTAGTCTTTGCTCCACTCCATTTATCACTCTTAGAAGACATTAGTCGCTATGTCTTATTTTCTGTGTTTAATGGTAGCTTTTGAAAGATGTAACCTCTGCCTATTTCTCGGTGTTAGAAAGGATACTGTAACCAAATTGTATGTTCTACGATGTTTTAGCAGATGCAGACAAAATATATTTTCGTATCTTTTCCAAGATTGTCAACACAATCTTCATCAAAGTCTGAGAATTTCATTTGACCATAATATGACTAGTAAAATACGTTTGTTATGAACGCCGCAAGGTTGGAGAAGACGAGATAGGTTTTCACATTTTAGTCCTATATCGATTTTTTAGAAAACAGAGGAGGAAAAAAAGTGAAGTACACATGACAAGTTACAATTTAAATGCTTTTATTAACAGATTCTTTTAAAACCAGAGAATGAGAGATGGTGAGAATACATTAACTCTCTTTCTCCTCTCATCTTGTTCTCAAGGCTAAAACACTGCTCTTTCCTATTTTCAGAGGACAGAGCCATCAGCATATAATCTTGGCTTTACTCTCATTAAACTTCTCCTTCCCTTATCTTCACTTTCTCTTCTTCCCAGAGCCGATGGTCAGGAGCTCGAAGCTTCTAATGGCATCCTCATGTCCAGGCCTTGCAGCTGTAGATGATTGTTTGGATTCATAGCTCTGTTGAACCCGTTGGGTTGTGGCATGACGTGACCCACTTGAAAATAGTCGGCTTGAGCGGTTCTCACTTGGCTCAGCTGATGAGCCAGGTCTGCTGCTTGATATCACACCTCTCTTTGAGGTACTTCCATTTCGAGAATCAAGCTGCAAGTGAAGCCACAACAAATCAAAACAGACAAACTTTCTCATATCCTTTAGAAAATTCCTATTTAACTTGAGAATTACTTGGGAGTTTGGATCTTTAACTAGAGAAATGTTCATGATAGATCTACAGGATTAGCCAACTAGAAAATTAACACCAAAAACTAACCACTTCCTTGGCAGAAGAGGGTATATCATCAGAAGATCTGTGTCTAGAGCGGTCACCAAGAGCGCCTTGGCTTGAAACATTTCGTCTGGTGAAAGCCTCAATTGCGCCTGTAAATCTTCCTCGCAGGTCCTGTCCTACTAAACAGAACAAAAACTTAAGTTGTTTGGGATCTTCCCCTACTTGAGAATTTTTGTTAAATCTCTGGACAAAAATTAAAAATCTTCGAAGGGAGAAACATATCTATGTGGGACACAAATTAACGGTCTGAAGGTTCAGATGAAATAGTGCACGTTTTTAAGCACCCAAAATTGTCAGCACTCAAGTCTCAAAAGTATACATAGCTATGTTTTTAAGCTAAAAGACATTTTTCGATATTTATCTTTGTATCAGTCGGACTAATTTAGTCCCTACAATATAAGAGAGATGTCTTTTAGCTTAAAAACATATTTATCTTTGTATCAATCGGACTAATTTAGTCCCTACAACATTAGAGACAGAGAACATCAATGTACCTGTAGGCTTTTCAGCTCTTTCTGCAGGTGGTCCTGGAGGGTCCAATGCTGGTCTTGGAGATGGCTGTTATGAATGATAAACACATAAATCACAATCGCGGATACGATTTTGGATAAATTAATTGCAACTCTCACACGTAAAATCAATAATAGGACTAACCCTTGGTCTCGAACTAGAGCCAGATTGAGGATATTTTGAGATTGTCCAATCAAACACGTAATCGAGCTGATAACCTGCATCGTTCATTCCATCAAATACGTACAAGAAAGCAAGGGATGATATTTCTGTAACTCCATAGACCATAAACAATCTAATAACAGATCGGGAATAAAGAACAAACACAGCAGAAGTTTTAACCTTCACGAATGAAAAGGTCCCTGAAAAGTCTTCTCAGATATGAATAATCTGGTTTGTCCTCAAATCTCAATGATCGACAGTAATGGAAATACGAGGTGAACTCCGACGGATACGACTTGCAAAGAGTCTACATAAAGTAAAAACATGCTATATCAGTACTAATGGACAAATTAAAACATTATCTGCATACAAAACCTTATCAATGAGGTACCTCTACAGAAGTAAGCATCTTCTTTTCACTAATCTTGTCATACTTCTGCTTCTTTGTACCAGCTTTCAAACCTTGCCACGGAAGACTGAGACAGGAGAAATGAACTCAAGTTCAAGAATTTCATTTTCTTCAAGAAGTTATAAGCTAATATGCAACCAAGAAAGTTCATTACCTTCCTCGTAAAAAATACATCAAAACATAACCAAGTGACTCCAGATCATCTCTTCTACTTTGCTCTGTAAGCATGCATAAAAATAAATAAGACAGCAAGGAAGACAAGAGTTTCAAATGCTTGTGACATGAAATCAACGGATGTATGAGATGAAAGCAGCTCTTACCGATCCCAAGGTGTGTGTTCACACTTGCATAACGAGCAGTTCCTGTAAGATTCTTGTTTTCCCTGCAAAGTTACAAAAAAATCTAATAAAGCAAGCTGGAAGAAGAGTGGACAAATGAAAGTATCGAACACAGGTCCTGAACTCAGCAAGAAATAGAGAATATTTCTATTCTCGCACCAACACAAAGGTCTGGGAGAGAGCTATAAGAAAACACTCGTGCATTATAAAATCCGTGATTCATTAACAAATCAGGCACGGGAATCAACCAAAAAAAATCCTATAACAGGTTCCTAGACAAAAAAAGATTCAGTAAACATTGACATCCGAAAAGAAAGGGTAAGAATTTTCAGATCTCACCTGTATGGTATATGCTTTTGTGTCTGAAGATCCTTGTATTTTTTAGCAAGGCCAAAATCAATGATATACACCTGAGGATTCAAATAAATACAGTAAACCAGAAGGCTTTAGTACCAGTCCTATTCTACGAATCACACATAGATATATTCTACATACGCCAACTCATGCTGAAACAAAGATTACCTGGTTTGCTTTGCGCCCAAGACCCATCAAAAAGTTGTCTGGTTTTATGTCGCGGTGAAGAAAACCCTTCGAATGCATGTACTCAACTCTACATAACTGCATTGATACAACATATTCAAACGAAGAGATGAGCAGTGTTCCCAAACACCAACCTAACATCATAACATAAAACCATACCTATTACTCAGTACTTACCAATTGATCTGCGAGCATTAAAACAGATTTTAATGAAAATATTCGCTTGCAGTAATTGAACAAGTCCTCCAAGCTAGGCCCAAGAAGGTCGATAACCATACAACTGTATTCACCCTCGACTCCAAACCATTTGAGATGAGGAACACCCGCTATTTCAAAAGAAAGATAACATGTCAAGCTATCAGAGGCAGAGAGGATTGGAACTTCAAATAAACTAGCCTAGAAACCACACTCACTTCCTCCATGAAGAAACATATATATTTTCGATTCATACTGCAGTTGAGGATGCCTCGTCTTCACAGGTTCCTAGTGTCAAAGAAACAAAGAAACATGAAAACTTGAGCTACACAGTTTGATTTCAAGTCAAAACTAGTCTTTACTATAAAGACTGCAACAGTCAGCAGGATCCATTAAAAATTGAAACTTTCCTCAGAACAAAATGAACAAAATTTGTAAACTGAAACCAAATTCGTAGTTGTTACCAGCTTAACTGCGACTTCTTCTCCAGTTTGGAGATTGATCCCTAAACCAAACACATAAATTGAAAAAGATCAAATCAGACCCCAACAACAAAACCCAAATGCAAGAACTAGGACGAACATATATTGATTGATTGATACCTAAATAAAGTTCTCCGAACGATCCACTTCCCAGCTTCCTGCCCAACTTAAACTTCGCGGCGATAAGACGATCCAGCTTTTGACTCCGATCCATCTTTGTTTTCGGATTCAGCAGTAAAACCCAATCGCCATACACTTAACACGGGTACCAAAATCAAAACCCAAGTAGCACAGTGATTAAAACGGTGAAAGGTGAGGACTTTGGCAAGAAAGAGAAAGAAAAGTGTATTCTTTTAACTGGGAGAAAGAAGGAGAAGAAGAAAGAATCTATGTAGAAGAAGGAATAGGATGAAGAAGGAAGAATCGGATCTGAGTTTGAGGGAAGATTTTGCGGAGATTTCTGGAAGAAAAGAGAAAGAAAGAAACAATAATAAAAGAATTGAAGAATATGGGACAAATCGAATTAACCTTTTATGTGTCTTCTTCTGTGATGTATTGAGAGAGACAAAACTTCAACGTAAATATATATTTCATCTTTGATTTGTATACTTAAACGGCAAATTAAGATTTGTTTGCTCCCAAAAAAGCCAAATCCAACAAAGATGACAGACTTGCGGCCAATTAGTCTTTGCTCAGTACTTTATAAGATTGTCTCTAAGGTACTTTGTAATAGATTAAAGGGTATTCTCCCTAGTATTGTCTCCAATACTCAAGGTGCGTTTGTCTCGGGAAGATTAATTTCAGATAACATCTTATTAGCCCATGAAATGGTACATGCTCTTCGAACTAATCCACATTGTGATGAAGACTTCATGGCTATTAAGATAGATATGTCTAAGGCGTACGATCGAGTGGAGTGGAAATTTTTAGAAAAGTTGCTCCTGAGGCTAGGCTTTGATATCAAGTGGGTTATGTGGATCATGAGCTGTGTATCATCAGTTTCTTATTCCGTTCTTATGAATGGTGCATCATATGGATTCATTAAACCAGAACGAGGGTTGCGTCAAGGAGATCCGTTATCTCCCTTTTTGTTTATTTTATGTGCGGAAGCCTTGGTACATATTATGAACAAAGCAGAGCACGCTGGTCATTTAACGGGGATGAAGCTTTCCCTTTCTTGCCCGTCAGTGCAGCATCTACTTTTCGCCGACGACAGCCTCTTCCTTTGCCGAGCAAATCTACCTGAATGTAAGGCGTTACTGGAGTGTTTAGTCCTTTATGGCAACGCTTCTGGTCAGGAAATTAATTTCCAAAAGTCGTCTATTTCTTTTGGCAAGAGAATAGATCCTTATATGCGACGACTGTTGGGATTATTTTCGGGCATAGAACAAGAAGGTGGAGCGGGTAAATACTTAGGCCTCCCGGAATGTTTTAGTGGCTCGAAACGGGAACTTCTAAGTTATATCACTGATCGGCTTAAGTCTCGCTTAAGTGGATGGTTTGAAAAAACTCTTTCATTGGGAGGAAAAGAAGTGTTGTTGAAATCTGTTGCAATGGCCT